CTGTGCTGCTGCTGCTGCTCCCTTCTCCCGATTCAGGATTAATTCATAGTCCGAATCATCGGCGCAGATAACCTCCGCGCTTTGGCGCGGCTTTCCCCAAGCCATGTTGGCATCTTGCGATGCCCCTGCCACCGGTATCACTGAGCCCTGCTGACCGGAGAACGTCCTGGGCTGCTGCTGCTGCTCCTGCTGCTGTTGCTGCCCCTGCTGCTGTTGTCCCTGCTGGGCCCGAAGGTGGGGCTGCAGGAGGTGGTCTGGAAAGCGCGCAGGCACGCCATGCGGCAAGCACTGCGGCGGCTCCTGACTCCAGGCAGCACCGCCGCCCCCTGCTCCCGGCTGCTGCAGAGGGGAGATGCACCGCTCTGAAACCGCCTTCTGGCGGAGAAAGGCTGCAGCCGGGCCTGGAGCGCATACTCCGGGGGCGACCTGTGCCCCCCCTCCCGTGGTGCCTTCTCCTCCTGCTGCGTTAGCAAAGGAGATACGGTGCTGGCTTGCCCTTGACTGGCCTCCCGAGGAGGCAGTGGCGCATGTAGCCTCGGTACCAGCAGCCGAAACAGCGGCGGTGCTGTTGGCTGAAGATGGTTTGGTCAGCCGGCCTTCGCTGATAATCGCCGTCTTGTGCCGCCGCAATGGCTGCTCGGGCTGGTAGTCTAGCGTTACCTTTGAGGCGGCGGCGGTGGCAGCGGTCGCCGCGGCATTGCGAGCCGCCGCCTCCTCTCGCAGTCGCGATAACGCTGCTGCCGTACGAGACCTTCCCGACTCAACGCGACTGCCGCTGTCGCTGCGGCTGGCAGCACTGTTGGAGCCAGTTCCGGTGTGCTCGCTGCAGGAATGGAACTCCTCGTCCTCACTCTCGCCATCATCCTCGTAGATATCCTCCTCCAGCAAGGAATCCTCGATCGCGACGGGATTCCGATGGAGCTGATTTTTGAAAATGCGCTTCCTGCTGCTGCCAGGCTTGGCAACGCCAATGACAATGCCAGTCGCCCCGCCTCCCTCAACCGTCTCATCCTCCTCGCCGCCGCCGCTTGCTTCACTCCCACCCATCCAAGTCGACAAGCTGCTCCACATACCGCCACTCGTGCGGCCGCTGTCGCTGTCGCGACTCGAACATGTTTGGAGATCGACATGAGAAGCCGACACAACCGACCCATGGGTCGATCCAGCGGGCGAACAAGTACCACTTCTGGCTCCTCCTCCTGCTCCTCCTGCTGCTGCAGCCGATGGCGACAGCGCAGCACCTGCAGCAGCTGCTGCCTTCACTCGGTTCGCGGTTGCCCTCCGCAGCAGCTGGTTAGCGCTCCCGGGTCGGGGCAACACTGGCAACACCGAAGCTGTGCGCGACGTCGGCGAGTATGAAGGGGCTGTTGGCGCTGCTGCTGCTGCTGCTGCCACGGCTGCTGCCGCAGCTGTGGGGCATATGTCCGAGTCCGTCCAACGCAACCCCGAGGCGCTACGTTGGGGGTATGCGGGCCGCTGCGGTCCGCCTCGGGCATCCGCGGCACCCAGCCGGGACAGCGGCGAGCTCCAGCGGCCACTGCCCTCACTGCCGCGGTGACCGCGACTCCCCTCCGCCTCAACAGGAACCCGCCCTGACGCGGCTTCTGCGTTAAGCTCGAGGCCCTTCGCGGACCTGCCGCCAGCCAGCAGCCGGGCATCCAGGTGCTGTTGTTGCCCCTGGCAAGCATCCGTGTCGGCGTCCTCGTCTTCGTCCGCTGCCGCTGCGTCCCTACCGTCGCGGTTAAAGCTCTGGCAGGGTGTACGAAAGCGTGAGCCGCCTTCACCATAGCTGTCCCTGCTCTCCAGCTCCCTCTCTCCTGCTCCAACAGACGCCCTCCCCCGCGCTGCACTCTGCAGGTACACGTCCATGTCCTCAGCCGTCTCGAACACCTCCTCCGCCTCTGCAGGCTCCTCCTCGTGGCCATCCTGCCCCTCCTCCGCAGTAGCAGCAGCAGCAGGCGCCAGGCCACTTCCGCCGCTGCCAACACGGCTGCGACCGGAACGTCCCCACAGCTTCACACGAGCACCCACTCCCTCGTTGCCCCCAGCCTCCTCCTCGGGTGTGCGGGGTGTGCGGTCGAAGCGACTGACCTCCCGGATATCCACGACCGCGGGTTCGTCCTCCTCCTCCGCAAACCCTGAGGCTGCGACCTCCTCGCCCTCCTCGTCCCCCGGCACCTGCAGCCGCAGCAGCCGGGGCTGCAGGTCGCCGCCGGAGAAGCCGCCGCTGCGGGGAATGAGCTCGGCTAGGGCGTCCTTAGGGGATGCGACGTCGGAAACTGCTGCATCCGCGCTGGCAGGTGCGTCTGAACCCCCCTTCGCTGCGGCGGCCGCGGCGCCTGCGGAGGATGTAGCAGTTGCGGCGTCGGCTGCCTTGCTGGCCGCGGTGGAAGGTGTGGATGGAGCGGTTTTGGCGGAGTGCGGTGGGGTCTTGGAGGCTGGCGGCTGCGGCGGCACGTCCCCGGGCTGGGGCCGCGGGGCGCTGCAAAGGGAGGAGCGTGAGGTTCGCTCACGGCCCGCGAGGCTGGTGTTATTGGAACGTAAGGCGGCGCAGATGGCTGCGACTTGGTGGCTGGGCTGTGGTGCGGAAGGGGGTGGGATGGGGGCGGGTGAGGTTTGCGGGTGGGGTGTTCAGGTGTTAGGATTTATGGGATCCTGGCAGTTACGTTTAGCGCAAAGAGACACAATCGCACTGCTTGTCTTGGCCTGTATCCTTCCTAAGTGCGCCGAAATTCGTGTCCCCTCTTTTGCCTTAATGCCTATTAAAGGGGAACGAACTTACAAGTTGACGGTGTTCCCCAATATTGACTGCCAAGCCTCCGCCGCTTTTTAAAGTGACGCTGATAGGAGCAGCTGGAGGTGCCGCTGTGGATTCTGGACAAGGCACCACAGGCGCCGCAACTTTCGCAATACGTTGTGCGGTGGTCGGTTTCCTACACGCGTCATTAGCTGACGGGTGGCTGCAGCATTGGCCCTGCGGAAAACGGCAAAGCACGGCGAGGTCAGGTGAGGCCGACAACCTCTATAGTTTTCATAATGACTTCTGAGCCGCTCTCTTCAGGAAAGCTTACCATTGTTGAGCGCCTTCTTGGGTACTCAATGCTCGGCGATGGTAATGGGCGTCCTTTGTCTCGGACCAGCCTGAAGCTAAGCAGTCTCTGCCTACAAATAAATGAGTTATGCGACTTGGATGACCTCTGCGTCGAAGCCTGGATCGGCAAAAACGGGTGCTTCGTTTCATTGACACATAGAAACAGCACACGGCCAGGAATACTAATGTCGCATGGTTATTATCCAACTTTTTAGTACGTGAAATTAGTCCCGAAACTCAGACCCGCGTAATTGAGTGTGCCGCTTTATCTCCCTAATGTTCTCCGTACGATTACGGCATGTCTTCATACTACAGGCAGATAGAGACGGCGGCATGGCAGCTCGAATCCGTTTGATGTGCCCTGAGCAGTAAAAGTGATTTTTTACAATATTCGGGAAGGTTTTATGGCATCGGCCTTCCTCTTAAAACCGCGTTGGCAGAGGTTCATGCGGAACGAAGGCAGCGACAGGAACTGTGTAGTTCCAGAACATTTTCCCATGGGACAGTAGCCAACGCTCCCACAAATAGCGCCTGCAACTCACTCATGAGAATATTATCCGTTGTCAGGATTCCCGCCCTGACGTCTGCCTCCTGCCATAGCCCAAGTACAGGCGTAGTTCAAGTCAACCGTTGCATGTCAGTGATCAGATAACGCCATAGCTCAAACGGGCGCAGGATAATCATAGTACCCCAGCGTATGTGCCCGGTAGGGAGGTCTGTCATCCCGCCTGAGCCATGCTGCGCCGACATGTCAGCGCGACCCATTGGGGCAGCAAGTCATATTGCTCTCATATTGCGCCACATTGGGCTAATCGCAAGCTCACAAGTCACAACATACTATTTAGGCACAGTAATCTGTCACGAAACCGCATGGGCACTCGCTGACGAGCTAGCACCCGCAAGCCACAATACAGTACATGTCCGAACTTCTACGTTCTACCTCGAAAGCCTCACACGTGTACGACACCTGTACAGAGGATATGAATGGCACTATCGTCCTCTAGTCTCCCAGTCTTCCTCCTCCCCTGGAGCTCCTAGGCCCCACACACCGTTACCGTATGCCGGTACGCCACACCACAACACCCACATCACCACAGCGGCGACGGGCAAAAGCAATTCTCCTACGTCACATGCAACACCACAAGCCAACAATTTCGCCAAAATTCTTGATGCAGATTAACAGGTGCACCTTTGTGGTTGGAGGAGGCGGTTCCTTATATACACAAATAGTCACCCATAGCACTCCCGTAGCATGCAGCATGCATGCGGCGCACCATACAGCCCCTGGCCTCAACCTCCAACAAGACACAACCAAGTCACCCATTTCAACAGTAAATCCCACCCACATAGGTCACTATACTGACATAATAACAAGAATCTCTGGAGAAATAGAGAAGGGGGAATCCCTTGAGGAATACAAGAAAAAGAAGGCAGCGGAGCTCACGGTCCCGACAACGTCGCTGCCAGCACCTGAGCCACCGAGCAACACCCGCCCGCACCCGCACCCGTGTCGCCCCCCGCCCCGCCATCGCTCGGCTGCGACCAGACGCCGCCGCCCTGGGGGGAGGCCGCGCTGCTGCCCGCACTCGCCCTCGTCAAGGAGCTGCTGCCGCTGCCGCTGGAGCTGCTGGGGCTGCCCAACGAGCTGCCGCTGCCGACATCGCTGCCGCTGCTGCACAGCTCCTCACCTCGCTCGGACCACACATGCCGCGGAAGGGAGGGACCCGCCCACACGTCCACACTCACCACCGACCTCAAGCCCGCGGCCCCGGAGCAGCACGTCTCCGCACCAGCCCCGCACCCGCCGCTGGGCACTCCCTGCCCGCCCACACACCCCTCCTCCTGCACTGCCCCCCTTCCCACCGCCTGCCGCTCCAGCTGCGCCTCCACCTCCCGCAGCCGCGCCTCCATCGCCTCCAGCTTGCAGATCCACTTGCGCCGCTGCTGGTTCTGCACCCGCGCCGCGTCCTCCGCCTCCCTGCGACTGATCACCAGCAGCTCCGCGGCCGCACCCAGCCGCTGCTCCAGCGCACCCAGGGCGCCATCCACCGCCGGCATGGCCGCCCGCACCAGCGAGATGTCGACCTTGGGGTCGAACAGCTTGTCACGCTGCTCCTCCACCTCCAGCTTCTGCCGCATGAGGCTGTCGTACTTGCGGGTGAGGATGTCGAGGTCTGTACGGCAGGTACGGTAGTCGGAGAGGGCGCTGCTGGCTGCGGTTTGTGCGTTTGCCAGCTGGGCGCGCAGGGCGGCGACTTCGGAGGTGAGGGTGTCGATGCGGGCTTGCTGCCGGGAGCGGTCCTCAAGGATCTGGTGGTGCTGTTGCCGAGCCTCGTCCAGCTGCTGCATGTGCTGCTGCTGCATGTGCTGCTGGTCTATCAACCACTGTTCTCGCTGCTCGTCCAGGCGTCGTTGCAGTTGTAAACACGTCGTCTGCAGCTCTTGCGGCGTCTGCGGTGTTGTGCAGCATGAGCCAGGGGAAGTGCGGCTTGGGGAAGATGGTTGACTGCGCTGTGGCTGCGGCGGCGTTGAGGGCTGGGAGAACTCCGTGCTAGCTGGGGAGCTGGGAACAACGTTTTCTGTAAGCGGTAATACATCGCCGCCTGAAGGTGTCTTCGTGTGCCCAGCTGGGCTGGCTACATGTTCCCGCGCCAAGGCGCATGGCGACCCTCCAGCTCCAATGCAGGGTGCGCTGGCATCAACGGCAAGGAGCTGCACATCTTTCTCGTGTAACTGCTGCTTTACCGCCTGAAGTTCAGCTTGTAGCCTACTTATAACGTGCGTTGACTCGCGCATGAGCTCGTCACGAGCCTGCGGGGCACAAGGAAACACATTGGCAACGAATCTATCAACCCAGTTCGATAAGGCGATCAAATTGTATCTGACGCAATGCGGGACGCTTCCCAGGTACCTTGCGAGATAACAGCTGGAGACTTTTGACCTATGGGATATCAAGGACCGTTGACTTCATGCTACATAGTTACCATTTACACCCCCGTACCTCAATTTCATGCCGGTGCTCTTGGAGCAAGTTGAGAAGGAAAACGGTTTGCTGGTCGCTCTGCTCCTGTCGCTTCAAGCTAAACTTCATTAGCAGCCTTGCTTCATGCTGTGCGTCGTCCTGATGGACTTCATTGCGTCCATTTAAACTGTGTCCGATAGAAACACGCCCCTGTGGGCTGGAGTTCCAGCTCATTGCTCCGGTTCTCGCACAGCAGCAGATGAATCTAGCCGCTACGTAGTGTCAGTCTAGGATTTTCCTTACAAATATACACGGCGCACGAGAACGTCAAAAGTCGTGTCTTTAGGTTTGTGTACTACTCTTGCGGCATGAGATTTTCTCAGAATGAAGACCTTCCAAGCAAGCGTATCTGCATTACAATGAGCAATTATCACTGGTTCGAATTGAAAATTGCTAATGTGCAGCAGGAAAGTATTCGTCCAAGTATGAACATGTGCCGTACGGGTGGTCCACAACACCCCGTGCCGCAGGGACATGCGATGTGATGCGGGAAGGCACGCAATTATAACACACGCTAATATGGATAGTTGCATATGGTGTTTGGGAACAGGTTCTCGTGGTGCCGGGAATTGCAACTCATGCCCGTGTGTCGAAGTGTGTCGCCTTTGCTCCCTCCCCGCGGCAACTTGCTTCATTTTGCCTGATTGTTTGGAAGTTCGCCGGTAACTCCTTGAGCACTTGCGCTTGTCCCAGATTAGAAACCGTAACTGACACTCATGGTTTTCGGGGCTTCACTGCCCCATCCTCTACCGGGTCGCTTGCGTTCCCTGGGGGGCAAGGCAAGATACGAATAAAGTCCGCGTCGGCTTTTACAAATAATTGCATATTCGATTTGCGGCACCAAACTGGCTCCGGCCAGCCTGCCAACGAGGACGCATGTCGAAACCCCTTCCTCGCACACTTTACATACAAGTACTGCGAGGTATCCTATCAATGTCCTATCCAATCAGATGTACACAGCCTTCGACGTCCCACCGTCGTAAGGAAGAGCGCTGTGATTGCAGCACCCTCCAACAGCCGTTGCTCCCGAGGAAATTGCTGACAAATCGAGGGCAATAGCAATACAGCAATACATGGGTGAAGTCCTGAAGAAAACCTGCGAGGCGCAGCAATATTACGCTCCCAACTAGCGACCACGGGGCACCGCTTCAAGAGGTTTCAAGTGACTAACTACCGGTACTGCCACACATGTGCGGGGTACGGCCCTGAAGCAGACACGCTCATCATGGTCCTTCAACATATACACATACCAGAAGAGCTCGGCCCAGTTGATGTGGAACACAAGCAAGGAGAAAACTCTCGCTTACCACCTCATACCTAGCCAAGGCCGCAGCGAATCCCCCGCCCCTACCGTTTCCGTACATCCCCAGTAATCCCCTTCCCCGCCTCCGCGGACCCGATGACCCCCCTGCTTCCCCCGCAGAGCAAGGGCTCCTGCCCGCACCCCCCCACCAACCACCCCGCCAACGAGAGGCACCAACGAGGCGCCAATCAACCGCGCCACAACGCCTGCTGCTTCCCCTTGCCTTCCCCTTTACTTTCCCCTTGACTTCAGTTGTTTGCATTTCTTATATAATTTTTTCCCCTCTCTCCTTTCTTCCTCTTTCTCTTTCCCCCCCTGCCGCGGCAGGACGGGATGGGCCGGGTACCATGGAGCAGCAGCCCCTCCCCCCATCATACAGCTCTCATCAGCTTCCTCCTCTTCACCCGCCCCCCCCCCTCCTCAGCTGGTGTACAGCACGTCCTCCCAGGGGTGGCGGTACAGCGGCTGCTGCAGGCGCCGCTGGTCCAGCGCGTGCCCCACCAGGCCGATGGAGCGAGCCACCACGAACAGCGCATTGAGGTAGCTGGGGCCAGGAGGGGGGGGCGCGGGGGGGGCGGGGGCGAGGAAGGGAGGGGGGGGTCAGGGAGGGGCCAAACCACACGTGAGGGAAAGACCGTTTACGTCTACATGGACAGGACCTCAACCGAAGCCCTTGTGCAAACCAACCAGCCAAAGCACCTCCGCCCCCTGCCCTCACCCCTCACCCCACCTCCCCAGCTCCCCCCCTCACCCAATGTTGACGATCTGCTCCGCCTCCGCCGGGCTGAATGCGCCCGAGGCGGCCAGCAGGTCCAGGAAGATGGCGGCGATGGCGCCGTCCACGTTGAGGACCTGGGGGGAAAGAAGGGTATCCAATGTGTGGTGTGATACTAGGTAAACTAGCTGGGGGGGGGAAAGGGGCAGGGGGAGTGAGAAGCAGCACCTCCCCCCTATCTATGCAGCAGTAGCAGTCCACCCCCCACTCCACATCCGGGTTTGGGACTCCAGTAGGTTCACTGTCCACATGTTTTTCACCCCTCACCCCAGCCCCATTCCCCACCAGGTTGGGTGCCTTCTGCAGCGTGTACGCCTCCACCGCCACCGCATAGTCCAGGTAGCGGGTGGAGGGGAAGAACTGGGGGGGCGTAGCGGGGGAGGAGTGAGGGAGGGAGTGAGTGAGGGAGGAGGAACAAACCAGCTACCCGTACGACATACAGGCTTCACCATGGAGGTGATGAGGTGGGGGCAGGTGTGTGCGGAGGGGAAGGTATCCGTGTGCGAGGAGGGAAGGGGAGGAGGTGCATGTGTATGTCCGGCAACACGGGCTGCTTCTCCTTCCTTACGCCTTTTCCCCTCATTCGTCCCACCTCACCAAGGTCCTCCTCCTTTGCCCCCCCCCGTCACCTCGCAGTCAGTTAGTTGTTTCCTCTTTACCCCCCCCCAGTGTTTCCGCGGCTCAGTTTATCTAATCCCCCCCCACCTTCCTCGCATACTCCTGCAGCAGCGCCACCCGCTTGTCTCTGTTGTCCTTGGACTTGATGCGGTGCCCAATTCCCGACACACGCACCCCCCGCCGCTTGAGACCCTCCACGAAGTCGGCGGGGGAGTCGTCGGCGTCGCAGGCGGCCTTGAACAGCCTGGAGGCGGGAGGGGGGGTGTGGCGGGGGGGGGAAAATTATATAAAAGTGAAACAACGAATCCCAATCCCATATCCCGACTCATGCAGTGAGCGGAGGGAGGGAGGGAGGGCGGGGGTCAAAGAGCATACCAGACCATAGGGAACCATAAAGCAATGTGGCCGGGGTGGTGGTGGCCATACCTCTATACTCGCCTCATCTCCGCCTGACGGAGTACGGAGGTATCCTAGCTACTACCCCTCCCCTTCCCCCTTTGCTCCCCCAACATGTCCAACTTGTTCACGACTAGCCCCCAACATGTTTCCCTTCTCCTCCCACTCCTCTCTCCTCCCACTCCTCTCTCCACCTCTCCCCCCCTCTCCCCCCCTTCCCCGCGCCCCCCCTCACCTCGCCGCGTCGTCAATGGCCCCCCCGAACCGCGGCCCGATGGTCAGCAGCCCCGCCACCAGGCTGCTCACAACGTCCTTGCCGGCGCGCGAGGTGACGATGGTGTTGTGCGCGCCCGACACGCATGGGCCGTGGTCGGCACACAGCATCACACACATCTGGCGGGGGGGAGGGAGGGAGGGGGGGGAAAGGGGGGGTGAGGGGGAAGGGAACCATGCGTAGGGCTAGGGGTAAAAAAATATATAATGAGACACTGATGATGCTACGGGGGGAGTTGTGCGACGCTTGGTAAAGGCGAAAGGGCAATGCCCCAGCCACGCATGACAGCACGGACGGACGAAATGGCGGCCCCTCTGCCCTATCCTCTTCCCCATCTCCCCTTCCCCCTCTCCACTTTGTCTTGTGGCACCCTGCCGCCTCCTACCCCCATTGCTTTGCCCTAACCTGTGGATTCCTGTGGTTTGGTATGGTCTTTGTCCCCCCCTTTCCCACCCGCTCCCCACCTCGATGAACTTGGTTGCGTACTTGGGCAGGTGCCGCTTGAACCACAGCAGTGCGATCACATCCCCCACGCCGTACTCCCGCTCCATCAGCTCGCTCATGCTGACCCCCGCGTACGTGGGCTCCTCGCCGCGGTCGTCGCAGATGGAGGACACCACATGAGTGGGCACACGAACCTGACGGAAGGGGGGAGGGGGAGGTGGGGAAAGACGAATTCACAATGTGTTGAGTGAGAATGCAAACCAGACGACAAGCTGGGGGGAGCAGGGGTAACGAAGAAACACCATGTGTGATAAGGCGTCATCAGCAGGGGGGTGAGCAGGGGCAGGGATGGGTGGAGGAGACTTAAAAGATACACGACCGAGGCGGCGGCAGGCTGCCCCGAAACCCCAACACAGGGCATGTACCCCCTCCCCCCACCTTCCCCGCCGCCACCGCCGCCGCCAGGTCCTGCGGCAGTGCGGGTGCGGGTGTGTCCGGGGCGGGCACCAGCTGGCCACTGGACACCAGCCGCTGGTAGGTGCTCCTGGGGGGCGGGGGAGGGGGCGGGAGCAGGGGGGGGAGGGGCGGGGAAACAGGGGGAGGAAAGGGGGAGGGGGAGCTCTGTTACGGGCGGAGGGGGCGGAGAGGGTGCATGCTTCCCAGTTGTGCAGCCATGTCTTCTACAGGCTTTTACCGCGGTAGTGCAGCCGTGTGATCTGGAGGAGGTGGACGTGGCTTGCAGCTCCCATCGCAACCACCCACACCCCCTCTCCACCTCCCCCCCCCACACCTGATTGCCTCCTCCAGTCCCTCGAACGAGTCGGGCACCACAGCACCCGCATCGCGCAGGGCGGCGTTCTTGGCCTGAGGGGGGGGGACATGGTGGTGAGGAGGAACGGGGGGAGGAGGAGGGGGCGGGTGGCGGGCACATGGTTGCTATACAAGCTAGACAAGGTATAGAGCGGCTGGCAGCCGCCCGAGCTGCCAACATGGTGGGGGGCAGGCGCTCGTGAGTTAAAATAACTGGCCGCGAAGAGAAACGTACTGTGATTGTGTGTGTGTGTGTGTGCGGCGCAGAGTGGGTATATGGCGCGCGGAGTGCGATACCCCCACCTGCGCGCTCTCCATGTCGCCCCCGCTCCGCGCGCCCGCATGACCGAACTGCACCTCGCTCTTGAACAGCTTGGCGCACGTGCCGGACACCTGGGGGGGGGAGCGTGAGGGGGGGGGGGGGAGGAGGTGGGGTTGGAGGGAGGGGAGGTGAGGGGGATGTGGGGTGTGTGACGGGCAAAGACAGTGTCACGCAGAGATCGAGCGGGAGCGGGGGCGACATGCGGGTGCATGGCGCAAAACAAGCATGCCTTGCAATGTTGCAAAGCAAGAAGACGGCACATCGGGCCAGCTACACCTCAGCTTCCCCCCCCCCCGCCCAACCCACCCACGCCACCACCGGCTTGCTGACCGCCCCCGCCCTCATCGCCTCCACCAGCCCGTACTCGTCCCGCCCGCCCAGCTCGCCCAGCACCACAATCAGCTTCACGGAGGGGATGTGCTGTGAGGGGGGGGGGGAGGTGCATACGACAGAAGTTAGGGGCGAGAGAGTTTCCCGGGGCAGAGGCGGCACAGTGCAGCTAGGCGCCCCGGACGGCGCCCCGGACGCCAGGGCCGCCCTCGCTGGGCTCCCGATCTCCCATGAGGGGCAGCACACGGGCCCCCCCCCTGTGGCCCCGTTCTTCGTGTGCTGTCAACAACAACCCCTCAGCCCCTGCCAGCCCTAGGTACGGTACCTCTCCCTGCCCGGCCCCCCTGCTTCCTCCCCGCCTCACCTCGTATCTGAGGCAGTGGTCAGACAGGGAGGAGCCGGGGAAGGTGTCTCCGCCGATGGCAATGCCTGTCATTGGGGGGTGGGAGGAGGGGGAGGGGGAAGGCGGAGGGGTGGCAGCCACGTTTGCCAAACAGCTTGCATGCCAGACAGTTTGGACGGCTCTGCTGGATCCCCCGCCACTTCCCCACCATGCACCTCTCTCCACTCCCTTCACCTCCCCACCCCCATCACCCCAGGACTTGTTACCTAGTTTGCCATTGTCATTCAACGCATCCGGTATCCTTCCTTCCCCCCTTCCCCCCTCTCCCCCCTCCTCTCACCCTCGTACAGTCCGTCCGTGGCGCGCGCCAGCACGTTGTACATCTCGTTGCTCATGCCGCCGCTCTTGCTCACGAAGCCCACGGAGCCGGGCCGGTGCAGGCGGCAGGCCACGATGTTGTCCAGCGTGCCGGCGGTGTCGCCGATCTTGAAGGCGCCCGCCTGGGGGGGGGGGTGAGGGGTTGGGGGGGTTGAGGAATGGGGGTCAAAGACCATGGCAAATCCCAGGAGCCGCCCCCCCCCCGCAACCCCTCCCGTTGAGTGGGATGGACCGGCAACCATGTGAAGCCTTGTCATACAGCTCGTTAGTTGCCTCGTCAGTGTCTCTTTTATTTTTTACCCTCCCCTCCGTCCCCCCCCCCCCTCACCTGCACTCCCCCCACCGTCGCGGGCCCAATGATGACCTTGTTGGCAGCCCGCGCCTCCGCAATGAGCCGCTTGGTGTCCCGCTCCGGCACCCCCTCCGCGATGATGGCGATCACACGCAGCGTGGCGCAGCGGAGGGCCTCCAGGGAGGAGTCGTAGGCGCTGAGGAGGGTGAGGCCGGGGGGGGGGGTTTAATAATAGGCGTGAAGCATTGGAATTCCTATCTCAAGGCCCGACCGTGAGCCATAAACGACGCACATGCTAGTGACGGGAGGGGACTGGGTATAGGTGTGCACGCTGGGAAAAGAGGGAGACCCAAAGTGTTTCCCCAATGTGTGCACGTGGTGGCAGGGGAGGGGGGTAAAGGAAGAATGGAGTAAAGCCAGGTGGAGCACCTGACTGCCAAACAGCTCATCAGCTGCCCGGCCCATGACCTCATATGAGGGAGTGGGGAGAGGAACCAAGTGGGGTCCTAAGCCCCTCCTAAGCCCTCCCTCACCCTCACCCCTAGTCCTCCTAATGCCCCTCTGCACTCTACCCCCCCCCCGTCCCACCTGCGGAAGGAAGCGTAGTTGATGAACACATCCGCCCTGGGGTGCTTGCGGGTGGCCTCGGCGGTGCTGGGAGGAGGGGCGGGGGGGAGGGGGGAGAAGAAGAAGTGGTGGGAGGGAAAAAAGGAGGGAGGGGGAGGAAAGGGGTTTGGCAGGCGGGTGCCCGGTGGCGCAGTGGAGCGCCTCCGAGGGAGGTGCCCGGCTTGGTAGGAAGGAGTGAAGGAAGGAGTGTGGCGGGATGAAATGCAGGCAGAGGGGAATACACGGAACACTGCCTGTTATAAAAAAGAGATGCGAAGCTACACAGGTTATGTCCGGTATTGAGGCCTAACGGTTCGCCGGAAAGGCAATTGGGGAAAGATCTAACATGCGAGCGACTACGCTATCGTTAAACGTGCGCAACTACGTGCCTCCTGGCGCTTCAAAGCGCACCTGCCGTATACGGGAATCGCTATCTCCTCCCTTCCGAAAAAGACCTTTTGGAAGCCGCCTGAGCTGCCAGGCTGAACAATGGCGGCAACTGAGGGCGTTGTGCGACCTGCGCGCGTGAGTGTGGGAGCGGCAAGGCAGTCGTGACATTGCAACTAACGCATGGTCGAAATGGTCAAGCACACTTCGTGAGCTAAGCGCGCATTTCGGTACCTACCGCAAACGAAGTCAAAGTCGAGCATGCGCTGGACGGGCTTCTCCTTCCAGTTGAAGAAGATAGCCTGCGTCTGCGGGCTGAACAGTTGGCCGAGGACCATTTTCTTTGACGATCAGAGGTTAATTCGCTATCTAAAAAAAGGTCAATTGCCGTTCTATTAAATGTAGTTTGCGCAAGCAGGCGACCAGGTGCCACGTGTTCTAGGACTGGGCTGACAATGCCACACAAGACTCTCCAACCGCTCTGAACTTCGTACGTGTGTGATCTGTGCGAGAAGGCAGCGCCTAAATTCAGCAAGGTGCCCAAGCGACGGTGCGATAATCAGGTATGCCGAAACGAGGCTCGCATTCTGCTCGCCACCTCGGCAGTCGTACGGTAGTTAAGCGCGGAAGGCAAAGCGCATCTTGACCGAAACGGCATGCAACGTGGTTTCATGTCCTATAATGGATGGCCGTCCTGTCGTTCGAATTTTTGTTCCTTTTGGCCAGCAAGCGCAAAGTGTGACTGGATCGAGCGCCTCTTGCCGGCTTCATAGCTGTGGACTTGACATATATATTCACAACTTAAAAGAGCAAGTGGAAGGGACGGTGATCTTTTCCGAAGCAGAGTACGTTGTCCGTGTATCTTGGCTGCAAGCAGAAAATGATATCATACAGTGTGCGCCACCTTTGTCACACCATCCAGACAGTGCGAAGTTAAGTAGTAGTAGGCGCGGCTCGACTGTTCAGCCGGGGCCATGTCAACCATTTATGACGCTGCTGGGTTGGGATTTGGTGACCTGGCGCGGCCGCACCACTGCAGTGCCTCAGAAGGTGCTCGTGAGGGTCCCGGATGCGATTCCTGGCCGTGAGGGCCTGCAGCAAGGGTGTCACCAGCTGCAGGTGCGCAACACCCGGGTCATTACCCTGCTGACCCGCTTCTTCCGCAATACCGGTGCAAGCGCGTTGTGGCAATTGTGCTGGGGTGGCGCCGGGAAGGGCAGGGTGCCCCTCCCACGTCTTCACCTCTAGGTCGTCCGATGTGTGTGTTCTGCTGCCTGGGAGGTTTCTTTGTGGACCATGCCATGGACCCCTCTTCCGCGCCCAACCCATCCTCGCCCTCCCACCCTCCATGCGCCTCCTTTCCCCCCTTCCCTCTTCGCCCTCCCGCAGGTGTTCCTGTACGACAGGACGTCATGGCGGCGGGTCGCGGAGGCGGAGGGGGCTATGGGCGCCTCGGCATGTGCTGGTGAGCACAATCGGGTGCACCCGCGGGTGGGGGCGATGTGTGCTGCGACACATGCATGTAGTACTACAGGTTGTTGCAATACCTCAGCAACAAAGGATTAGAAGAGCGCTTTCCAAGGCACGCGAAAGGGGTACTTGGGTAGGCAAGGCAAGGCATGGAAGGCCGTTGCGTGGGGACAGGATCGCTCCTCAGTCCTGCATGCCATGAACCGCCCGCCTGCACCTGCTGCCTCTCCTTCGCCTCCACCGCCTCAGACGACCCCCCAGGTGCGCCGGAACGCCGCCTGGCCCCACCGCTGCCACTGCGGCTGGCCCTGCGCCCCATTGGGAATCCGGAGCTGCGACTGACCCAGGGTTTAACGCGAGGGCCGGGGTCAGTCGCTTGGAGCAAGCCGACGGACCCCGGGCCAGCTACCGCACACAGCTCTGCCTCAGCGGCACCGTCAGCCCCCTCGGCAGCAGGAGCAGGGGCACCCTCCGCGCCGGTGCCGTGTCATGCTGGGGCTGCCGGCGCCGGCGCCGCTGCCGGTGGCGGGTGGTGGTGGTGGTGGTGGCAGCGAGTGGCATTGCGGGCCGCGGAGGGCCTTACGGCGCACACCGCTACGGGTAAGGAGCCTGCTTAGCGAGCCTGTTGGACGGGTGCAGGCGCCACCCTAAACAACGAGCCTTTCTTTCCATCAGACGGGACACCGTTGCTCACCCCCGTGTCACCCCCTTGTACGCACCTAGGTTGCATGCAGCCACCAACCGCCACCAACCTCCTTCCCTCGCCCCGCAGGCCGTCATGTGCAGTACATGGCCGCATGCCTGGCCACCTTGAGACAACTGCTGTACGACAGCCACCGGGCACCCCCACCTCCACCCGCACCCGCACCTACAGCTTGTTCACCTGCACTTCCACATTGGACCGACCGGACACCGCACTCCCAGCCTCAGCAGCACTCCCCCTCACAGCCACAGCCACATCATCGCCGCGGCCGCTGTGGCGGCGGTGCCGGCGGCGCCATGCACCTAGCTCCTGTGAGCCGCGCAGCGCAGCAGGCAACCCACCCACGAGGTGCGCCGGAGTGCAGTGCGCTGCCTCCGCCTCCGCAACAGCGCCTGCACCCACAGCAATCGCATCAGCAGCGGCAGCAGACACGAGACTGCGGCCGGGCTGGTGCGGGTGCGGGTGCGGTGGTGGGCTGTGCGCTGCTGTCGCTGGTGTTGCAGCTGGTGTTGGGGCCGCTGGCGGGGTTGGCGGTGTGGCGGCGGCGGGGGGTGTGGCTGGCGGCGGCGGGGCGGGCGGCGGCGGCGGCGGGGCGGTTGCTGGGGGAGCAGCACGACTGGTGAGATGCGGGGTGCGGGGCGTGACGCGGTGGAGGAGGGAAGCCAACGCGATGCAAGTGGATGCAACAAGCCAGCATGTTGAGCTTGATGATATAGACTTTTGATGTTATACACCCCCCCTGCAGGCTCATGTCCGCCACCCCCGCGGGTGTGAAGCTGCATGCGGAGCTCTCCGCGCTGCTGGGGCTGGCGGCGCATGCGGGCCGGAGGGGGGCGGCGGCGGCGGCGGGGGCGGCGGCGGCGGCGGGCGGAGGCCAAGCGGCCGCGGCGGTGCTGGCGGCGGCGTGTGCGCTGGGAGGTGGGCGCGGAGGTGAAGGGAGGTATATGAAGGGTGGCCGGCGTGTGATATGGCAAGAGGCGGAGAGGGTGCAAAGTGCAGGCGGCGGCCCTGCCTAGCCCAGCCGTTGGATCTGATGCCGCTCCCTGCCTGCTTGCAAGCGCACATGCTTGCAGCTGGGCACTTCCCCTCCTTGGCCCCGCCACCGTCACCCCCGCCCCACCCCCGCCCCACCAACTGCCGTACTACGACAGGCCTCGGCGGCGGCCTGGCTGCGCTGCAGGACCTGCTGGCGGCGGCGGCGGCGCCCCTGACGCTGCAGGCCGCCGCCAGCGGTGCACTGCTGCGGCTGCACGTGCGCTGGCTGCGGGGCGCGTGGGGGCTGCTGCGGGGCACTGCGCAGGAGGCGCATCGCCGCCGCCGCCGGCAGCAGCAGCAGCAGCAGCAGCAGCAGCAGCAGCAGCAGCAGCAGCAGCAGCAGCAGCAGCAGCAGCAGCAGCAGCAGCAGCAGCAGCAGCAGCAGCAGGGCGGTGACGGCCCGGCGGGGGGCGCCTCCTCCTCCTCTCCGGGCGGGCGTGTGCCCATCAGCCGCCTGGAGAGCTTGCTGGGGCTGGCTCCGGACCCCGGGGTGAGGGGTAAGGGGGTGAGGGGGCTGCATGCATGTAACGAAAACAAGGGAGCTACTGGCACCTTTGGAAAGGTGTTGGTGGTGGTATTTTCACCAGCGGGTCACCTCGCCCCGCTACATGCCTGCTCCTAGGGCGGCCGTGCGCTCCGTGCATGCACACGCCGCTTGCTACACATGCAGGCGGCCCACCAACCCTGTCCTTGGTCCCAGCCCGGCAACGGTAATGGGTTGGGTGCCGGTGGTTGGGCTTGGGATGCTCGGCTTTTCCTTGCACTTCCCCTCCCCTCCGAATGCGCTCACTGCATGAGTCGGGATATGGGATGGGGACTCGTTGCTACACTTATCATATTTTTTTCTCCCCTTAGCCCTTACCTCATCCCCTCACCCTCTCAGTTTATCTAATTCCCCTTCCTCCGCCCGCAGTCGCGCGAGGAGGTCGTGGTGGAGCAGCTGATCGTGGGCGTGCTGCTGCTGGTGCCGCTGCTGGCGCTGCTGCCCACCACCGCGGCATGGCACGTGCTGGCGGCGGCGGCGGCGGGCGCACCGGCGGCGGCGGGGGGCCTGTTGGCGGCGGCGGGCGGGCTGCTGCGGGATAACCCGCTGCTGACGGCGGCCTGGAGGGGGCTAAGAGCGCTGGACTTCCCGGGTGGGGCGTGGGGAGGGTGGGCTGGGGTTGCAGGGAAGGTGCTGAGTGCCGTATGTGCAACCATGCCAGCCATTTTGACGGCGTGCACAGCTGCGGACCCTTACCTGCACGCTTCCGCACGCGGCCACGCACATTGCTTTTGTAGCGGCGAGGTGACGAAGGCCTAAGGCCTATCCTAACCAGGCAACCGGCTACTGCACTGCTGGCGTACAATGTACAACACCTGATCGCCCCTTTACAATGGCGTGCAGGTCGCGAGGTCATGGTGCACCACGTGGTGCCGCTGGACACCTCGCGCCGTCTGCCCGCAGCACCGCCTCAGGCTGTGGAAAAGGAGCTGTCTAGCGCGTTGTTGGCATGTTCGTGTGGTGAGGCGGCGTGCTTTGTTGTGGAGCCGCTGCCCAGGGCTTGGAGGGAAGTTGTGATGGAGTGCCTGTGGCGTGGAGCGGCACTTGGCGGGTGGGGTGCGCTAGCGGGCGCGTGCGGCAAAAGGAGAGCGTAGCGATGGTGGCGGGGGAGTTGGCGCAGGTTCTAGAAGACTGGTTGGTAGCTGCCGGGTAGGTGGGCGACTGGCCGGTGTGCCCAGACGCTTTTACCAAAGGTATAAAGATGACAATTTGGAAGTTATATGTGTGCCCCAAGTCCCATCTCCGTCAACGTCAGCTAACGACCTTGAGGCCTTCGAGTAACCCCAAGTTAGGGACCCTGTTCAACTGCCAACTGCCGCTATACCTCGGGCTGTAAGTCGATCAGCATATGATGTAAAAGTGCAAATGGTGTTGAGTGTATAGTATTGAACCCATAGACATATGCCTTTGCGTTTAGCGGGCACCATTTCACGGCGTTACCTGGATTCTGTGCACGGTGCCTGACAAATTTACAAGACAATCCTTGGACTCTCGAGATGCTTTCCAACTTTCATACTCCTCGATAATACCTGGAACATACACGGCATATTCTGGGTTGTATAGAAACACCAGCAACTCACGTCCTTCTGTTCTCCGTTCAATGCTCGTTGGCGGTGGGAAAGCAGGCTCCTCCAGCTTCCGGCCTCACCTAAGCGAAGCCTGTGGTACAAAGCTTGGCTTGGATGCGGAGTAAGTAGCGGCACCGGTCATGGCCTCGGATGCTCCACCTGTGGCCTGCCTCGGGGGGATGTCCAGGTCTTGGAACGCCATGGCGTTAAATCGTCCCGCTCACTTACATTTCCTCTTTACTCTTTCAGGACCTGCTACGACCGGAGTAGCGAACACGTCATCCTCAGCAAGTCGTCCTTGACGCCTGATTGTGGATTTACGTGCTCCAACAACATATCTGATTATTTCGGCCGGGATTTCAGTGCAGAATGCGCGAGGTAAGCACTGGGCTTGTCCGGTATTTGTCCTCCGAGGTTTTTACTGGGGTTTCCGGATTTTGAGCGACTTGTAGACGAAGCCTGGGTTTACTGCACATCGTTTCTTGCAAGTTTGCACTCCGTTATTATATGTGTGCGTCCGCAAAGTGCTACACTTATGATGATGTAATCGAATACTGGAGTTGGTCGACAGCTTACGCTCCACAAAAACCTGTTCACAGGGCGCGCACCTCTCCCAGCTTATGCGGAGAACCAGCTACCCCAAATGGTACAGGCGACTCGATTTCCTCTCAAAGCCCAGTCAGCAATTCGCACTCATGCTATGGCCAAGGGCACGCTCCCCTCGATCCGCTTATGGAAGAATCCTCTCATTGCTTCAGTACACAGCGCCGGTGGTATGGTAACAGCTGCGATGGCGCGGATTCTTATGCCGAGGATGCTCGCCATGGTGCACACACTTCGGCTGCACGGCACAGGCGGTTTCCAAGTGCACAAAATGGAGACGGCCTAGGCTATGATACTGCGTTTCCATTCGCGACCGGCATTGGTTCATCAAACCCTAACGTTGGGCTCACTCCCAATGACGACCTCAATGCGCAGCTCTCCTTTGCAAACGCCCGAGTAGAGGTATTGGAGCATGAACTGCGTGATCAGCGCGCTCTGAACGAGGGGCTGGCCCTTCAGCTACAGCAGCGGGACGCGCAGCTCTACGAGCTACGTCGTCTGCAGGGCGCCCATGGCGACTGCGCGCGCCAAGACCCCGAGGCCAACGCGTCCTCTGCGGGCCCCTCATCACTACCCCAGATGGGTCTTCTATCCCGGCTGCATCGCTCACGCGAAGAGCTCTTCCCTCAACCACAAGAACCACAGCAGCCACAGCGACACGCGACAGATGAGGAGGCTTCGGAGCAGCTCCCCGCTGCGGGCGTGCCCCACCCCGCGACGCTCTTCCCCCTAGGCTGCCCATATGAGACGCCCTCTCCGCCCTCCACTCCAGCTCCGCCGCACCTGGCCGCCCACCCGGAGCCTGAGGCGCCCTGGCCGCTCGAGGCGGTTTCGGAGCGCTCCCTCGCGCTGCTGCGACTGGACACCCCGCAGGCCTTTGACACCATGGCGCCCCCCGCCGCGGACCTCGTCAGCGGTGCGGGCGGGTCCGCGGGTGCTGCCGAGAGCGCCACCGCTACCGCCCCTCTTGCGCCGCTGCTGCCGCAGCACCCACGGCACCGCCCGCAGCAGGCCATGTCGTCCCCCTTCCTGGCTGTGGCGACGGCCGCCGCTGCTTCTGAGCCCAACCCAGATCATCACGACCGCCGCGCTCACAAACAAGATCACCAGGACAAAGAGCAACAACAACACCTGCCACAGCCGCCTGAGATCGACAGCGACGTCGAGCAGACCAAGCCCACCCCTTCCGCACCCTCTGCCCCCACCATCTCACCCTTTGCTGCCGCCTCTTCCACCGCCGCTGCCGCCATGAGTGATTCTGTCACCCCCGCCCATGCCGACGCGCTGTCCAGCGCCTCCGACCTGCACCCGCTGCTGGCTCAGGAGCGCCGCCGCACGGACCGCGCGCACGCCGCCCTGCTGGTCAGCAGTCGTCAGGCTCAGCGGCTGTCGCATCAGGTGGCTGCGCTGCAGGTGCGGCAGGAGGCGCTGCTGCAGGAGCTGAAGGACTGGCGCAGCGCCTGCCTGGAGAACCACAGGAAGCTAGCGAGGCTGCGCAGGGCAGCAGCGGAGGCGGTAGAAGCGGGGGGGAGTGGTGTTGGGGGGCGTCGTGCGGAATGAGTGAGGTGGAGAGGGCGGTGGGAGGGAGAGGCTGGGAGTATGCGGCATGTTGGAAAGGTTGTTTGTTGGGTACATGGATACATGTGTTGTGTGATTTGTAGTAAGTGCGTCGTTTTGGGGTTTTGTGGTCCCTTGTGGAAACGTGCTGACTGCGTGCATCAAGAAGCGTGACGGTGAGGTGGCCGCTACTGCGCTTTTGCGGAGATCTTGCGAAGATGTGTGCTGATAGGTCGGATGTCACACGGAGACATGGTTGGAGGTACAGCAGGGCAGGATCGGTTGGAAGTCGCAGTAGGATTGTTGTGCGGTAGCCGCACGTTTTGGTGCGTGCGATGGAACGCAACTAACAACACTTGTCTCGATGAATAACGAAAGGCCAAGAACTAAACGGTTTTGTGTTGCTCGTCTTCATCAGTTGGTCACTTTGCTGCTTTGCTCGGCACTGTGCTGGCGGTTGCAGCTGTACACTAGGGGTTGGAGCCGGGTGACGGCAGGGGGAGGGCTGGGGCGCTGCTGTGTGGAGCAGCGGTTGTGTCATTGAAGGGTAGTACGCAGTGCTGGGGGGAATGGGTTTGTTGTACAGTTGGCCATTGGTTAAGCTTACGCTGAGTTGAGAGTGGCATAGCTCGCCTCTTGTGGCAACGTTATGTGGACCGGCGCCGCAAGAGGCGGTCCCGAGGGGGCAGCGGGCCCTTGCAGGTCCAGGCTGGCAGGGCGGGCTTGCTGTGGCGGGTGGCAGGGCAGCACACAGATGAACCAGCATGCTGTGGAGCTGTGCGCCGGGTGTGGAGGCAGGTGATGTGCATGGAGGAGGGTCACACAGCCGCTTTTGAGGGCGGGATTGTAGAAGTGAATGACATGCAGATTGTCTGCCGTACGTTAAAGGGCGCTTTGTGGAGGTGTGGACTGGCCTACCATTCATGTACCGTCCTGGAGGCTTCTTTTGGCACGTGAGGCATGGACGCTCTGCTACGTTCCATGGTGGGAGGGCCTTTACGAGTGCGTTCTGGGTATTTAGTTGTCAACCAATTTCCACGGTTGTGTATCTTCAGGAATAAGTGAAGCAGCGTTGCTCGAAGGGGTTGTACAGGGCTGAATGGCTGGCTGCGACGATAGGAGAATAGGAGGGATGCAGCCAGCTGGTTGTTCATAGTGGTTGCAGCGGTACTGAGTGTCTGGCCGTCGGAGTGTTTCTAAGCAGCACCGTTGGTTGCAAGATTGGACACGTATCGAAGCGTAGCGCTGGGAAATCTTTTTGTAGAACTGCTAAATTTGCCCGATGGTGTGCCGAAGGGAAGATGCAAAGTAGTGAGTTTGGGTTGTTCATTTCTTTGAAAGGAGGGTGAAGCAGCGTCAATTTTTTGGGGAATGTGTGCGGAAACGCCATGTTACCATCAGAGCTCGCAGATCTCTGAGACCCCGCTGCTGTTGCAGTTTTATTTGGTGGTGCTTTCGGTGGTGGCGGGTGATGCTGCCTGGAATTTAAATAGGCAGGCAGGAGTGCCGTGAGAGTTGTTGCCTGCTGATTTATGTTGCTGTAGGGTACTGGTCTGCTGGGCGTGGGTGTGTTTTACTGGCACATTGTCTCGATTTTAGATTTAGTGACTCGAGTAGGGGTGGTCCTACTAACACGTTCTGTGACGCTGGACTTTAGTACATTCTTGTTGCGGTTCTCAGTTAGTGCCATTTAGTTGTAGTACTGACATTCAAGGCAGTAGCCTAGACGTTAGTAAGCAGATGGCCTGCGTTTTGCAAGCCACTAGCTAACCATTGACAGGATATCATGCTGTCATGCGTTACAGGAATAAAAGATGAGATGATAACGTCGTGGGGCGGGATTTGCAAGTTGGAGGGCGCTGTAAAAGTCGATGCTTGCATGACCACCGATGCCCGGGATGCGAATACGTTAAAAGATGACCCATGGGTCATAGCACAGCCATTTATCATCCATACGAGTAAAACCGTGATCATGGCACGATACCACAGGACGATTATCGTATAGACAGGCTATAAAGCAGTTAGCCCTGGCAGCACCGTTTATCAACACGTTTTCTAAAGCATACAATGCCACTCGCTGCTGCCCGTACTTCACGAATGCACAACATGGTAACTAAACACACGGTTCCCAGGTCCTGCCACAATCATACCAGGAGCTGTGCCTACCCTGTCACGTCCGTATGTGCTGAACCTTACAACGCCACGAGGCACCCTGCGCACCAACCAGATCACTGTCGTAGCGCGACGACAACATGCTGAAATTTATGTTGCAAACTCCTCCTGTCAACTCCTCGCCCGTCACCCTTACCTCCCATGAGTCCTAACGTCTGGTTTCATGCATCTCCCTTTCTGCCATTTAAAGCCATCATCCCTCACTTTGCCTCCCCAGTCCTCACACCTCCGCCCCCGCAGCCGCTGCTCCTCCTGCTCCGCCCCTCGCCCCCTTCCTCCCCGCCTCCTTGGGCACCTCCCTCACCCCGGGGAACAGTGTCAGTGCGTACATGTGCCCCCCCACGTGCACCATGACGTTGCCGTAGGAGCGGATGGTGCCATGCACGCTAGCGCTGCGGTCCGCCCCGGCCGGCCAGTCGACGTAGTGGCGGCTGATGGCGGTGCGAACAATGTCCGTCACCTTCATGCCCGCCGGGCCGGCATGGCACAGCACCTTGAAAACCACTCGGGCATTGCGGCCGCGCATGGAGCCCAGCGCGCCCTGCAGCGCCTGCCGGTCCGCACCGTGACGCTCAGCAGCCTGGGTGGGAGGGAGGGAGGGAGGGAGGCGGAGGGAGCGGGAGCGAGGACTGAGGCCCGAAGGGGAGGGTGAGTGGTTCGTCTAGTGGATGTTGTGGGGGGTACTTCACGCTTCTGGGCCATGTATCTTCATCCGGGACCCAGCACCTCCGCACCCACCTCCATACACTCCCGGCACTGCTGCTCCTCCTCCAACGGAGGCGGCGCCGCCTCCTCCTCGCCCTCCGCCCCTGCCGCCGCACCCGCCGCCTCCGCCACCGCCGCAGCTCCACCGTCCAGCCCCACACCCGTGTTCGGTCGATTGGCTCCGGCTGCACCTCCGCCCCCCACCCCCGCCGTTGCCTGCTGCTGCAGCGCTGCCTCCTCCCCCGCCGGCAGCGCAAACGGCACCGGCTGCCCCCCGGCGGCCACAAACGCGCTTGCCGCCGCCGCCGGTGCCGCTGCCCCCGCCATTGGCGACCCCGCCACAGATCCCCCGCCTGCACCACGACCTGCTCCCGCCGGCGCTGCACCTCCTCCTCCAGCTCCGGGCACCCCAGCCGTCAGGCCCCGCTGCACTTCCGCTGCGATGGAGGACGCCTGCTGCCTGAGCACCTCGTCCGAGGTGGCGACGGCGGCGGCGGCCTTGGACCCCGCCGGGCGCTTGCGCTGCCCCCCGGGTCGGCCCTGACTGGCCGCCCGCCGCAGCACCGCCACATCCACCCCGCTCTGCAAGGAGGGGGAGGGTGGAACAGAAGCGGATGTAGGGCAAGGTAAACGGCTGCACTGATGAGTGATCGGAAGTTTCCAGAAGAGGGGAAAAGCGTGTATCACCAATGGGTCACGTGTCACTCCCTTACTGGAGGAGTGCGGCGCAGGTGCCATGCGGCAGACATACCAGCGCACGGAGAGAACGAGGATGTGGAGCGTTCCGCAGGTCACCTTCCCCTTCACTCCCCGTCGAGCAGCGACCCCGCTACCCCCACCCACTCCACCCCTTCCCTCCATCCCACCCACCTGTGTCGCCAGCTCCCCCAGAACGGCCTCCTCCTCCTCCACCGGGTACAGCTTGCGGTAGAGGTTCAGGTAGGAGCGCAGCTTCGGCTCCAACACCCCGCCACCTGCTGCTGCTGCTGCTGCGGAGGGCTCCGCGGACTCCTCATCGCTGCTGGCGGCCCCGGCGGCGGAGGTGCCGGCGGCGGCTGTGAGGGCGGGGAGGGCGGGGAGGGCGGGGAGAAGGTGGTGACAGCAGCAGGAGCAGCAGCGGGTTGAGGGTTGTGAGGGTCAGGGTAGCGCTGGTAGAAGGTAAGTTCGCCCATCCATCTCACACACAGCCTCCCCCTGAGTCTCCTACAACATACATACACACACACACACACACAACCTCACCACCCACTCCCTCTCCCACCCCCCACCCCCACCTGCATCCGCATCCGCCGACTTCTTCACCGCCGCCACCATGCCCTTCAGCTGAGTCAGCGATTTATCCAATCGCCGCTGTACGGCAACACGCAGCTCCTCAGGAACCGCCCCCGCCCCCGCCCCCGCCCCCGCTGCTGCTGCTGACCCGCCCCCACCCGCGAGCCCAGGCAGCCCCGGTGCCGCCTCATGCAGGGCCGCCGCCAGCTGCGCCATGGCCGCATCCCTGCCCGCCGCGTCCCCCTGGAAGGCCCGGTGCATGAAGAGGGCGACCTGCGTGAGCGGCGCCTCCAGCAGCTTGCATAGGTGCGACCAGTCGGAGGGCGGACTGGCCTGGGGGGAGGAGGAGGGCAGGGAGTGGGCGGGGCAGGATGCATGTGGGGAAGGGTGAGGAGCAAGGTAGCGGAACATGTGCGGAGGAAAGGGAGGTGTCAGGTGAGACCTGAGTACGGATCCCTTACTCTCTCCACCAGTACGGTGCCGTGCGAGTAACCCTCCTTTAGCCCTCGTATGCTACACTCGGTCCCCGCCTCCCCCCGCCTCTCCCCCCCGGTCTCCTGCTCCAACCCGCTCCCTCCCCTCCTGCCGTACCGCCGCTGTCAGCTTTCTGCGGCACTCCGCCAGCAGGGGCTCCAGGGAGGCGGGGGCGGGGGCGCCGCGGCGGCCCGAGCCCCGGGCACCCGCGGCGGGGGGCACGGCGGGCGTGGGGCCGGGGCCGGGGGCGGCGGCTGCGGGTTCGGGACGTGTGGGTGCCGCGGCCCCCGGTGCCGCCTCCACTGCGGCACCTGTTGTGGCGGCATGAGGCGGGCGAGGAGGATCGCAGTGGGGTGGGATTGAAGGGGGAGGGAGGGTTCATGCTTCGCGTCACCCCGGGGCTCAAACCGAGCGCCCCGCAACCCACTCACCCACCCCCCCAACCACCTGTGTGGGCTCCTGCCGCATTCACCGCCGCCACCCTCCCAGCAGCTGCTGCTGCCGCCGCTGCCAGTAACGCCGCCGCCGTGCCATTGCCCGCCGCCGCCGACCTTCCGAGTGCGGCCGCCAGCGCTGCGATCCCACCTTGGGTCGGCGCAGCCGCAGAGGCCGGGACTGCCGCTGCAGTGGGCGCAGCAGCAGCAGCAGCAGTGGGTGCAGCGACTGCGGGTACAGCAGGGGCAGCGGCGGTGGGAGGACCCGGTGCCAGCGGGGACCTAGGCGGGGGTGCGGGGGCGGCCTCGGGCTCCGGCGGGGGGGCAACCTGGGTCGGGATCGGAGGTGGGGTGGGGTGTGTGGGGAAGTAGGGTGCATGGCAGGGGTAGGCAAGCGGCGTGGGTGCGTTCAGGGCATCTGCGGGCATTGACTACACCGCATTGCTGCGCCGGACGAACTGCAGAGGCGGATCCCAGCAGCCCCTTCCCCACTCCTCATCCGCAACCACCACGCTTCCACACCACACCTGCTTGCGTCGCTTCCCCGGCTGCTGCTGCTGCTGCCCATCCGCCTCAACCACCCGCCGCTTCGGCGCCCGCCCCGGCGTGGAAGCCGCCCCCGCTCCCGCTCCTCCCCCTCCCCCTCCCCCTGCTGCTGCTGCCGTTGCAGGCCCGCCGCCCGCCGCTGCCCCGGCACCCGAGTGACCCACGGGTCCCCCCGCCGCGGCTCCCTCCCCAGCAGCTCCTCCGGGTGCGGTGGCCGGGCCACTACCTGGCTGCTGCTGCTGCTGCGCTGTCTTGGGCGCCCGGGGCCGGGGAGCCCGCCGTGCCGCCTGGCGCCCCTCCTCCTCCTGCTCCTCGGCGCCCTCCTCCACCTCGATGCGACCCTGCGGGTGGCGCGTGTGTGTGCAGTGGCGGCGGGGGAGGGGGGAGGTGAGGGGTGGTGAGGGGTGGTGGAGCTCTGGGTCAACCCACTGCCCCCACTCCGCTCCTTCCCTACTGCACCCCCCTCCCGCAACTGTCATCCACCCAGGTACACAACCACCCTGCCCCCCTGGTCTCCTATGGTTTGGTATGGTCTTTGACCCCCCACCTGGTTCACCCAGAACCCCTTGAACTTGGCCTTCACGCGGCGCGCCCGCTGATACTCAATCTCCTCGTCATCATCTATGAAGTCATCCTCGTAAGCCTCCAATGCAGGCCGCCTCCGCGGCTTCTTCTTGGCACCGCCGCCGCCATCGCTCATGCCGCTACCACCGCCGCCACCCCCTGCACCTCCCTTGCTGCCGCCGCCCCCGTCGGCGGAGGTGTTGCCGTCTCCCTCCCCTGCCGTCACCCCTCCCTCCCGCTCCCCGCCGCCCCCGTCAGTGCCCCCCTCCCCCGAATCCGCGCCGCCCCCCTCCGCGTCGTCCTCTGCCTCGCTGCTGTCCTGTTGAGGCGGCGGGGTGCGGCGAGGTAATGCAGGGTGTGGTGAGAAGTGGGGTGGGCTGCACGGGATGTAAGGGCCAGCAGCAGCAGCAGCCTCCTGGGCCACTTGGCTGCCCTGCTGCGGGCTACACCTACGAAACCCCCCAGCTGACGGGACGTACTTCACTCACCGACGCACTAGCCTCCGAGTCGTCCTCCTCATCGCCCTCGTCCTCCTGGCTGCCCTCGTCCTCGTCCTCGTCCTCCTCATCGTCCGCAGCCGCCTGCAGGGCAGCAGGAGGCGGGGCGGAGGAGGCATGCAGCAGGGGCATGGGGGCGGCGGCGGGGGTCAGCGGTGATGTCATACCTCATAGGTAGGCACATGCTAGAGTTCGGGTGTGTTTGCCCCCCAGTCAGCGGTAGCTCGGCTCCAGGGCATCGGATTGCGGTGTTGACGCTTTGACCTGTGACTGTGGGGACCGCTCCATGGCAGCCCAGGGCCCCGGGGATGTGTCCTGTCTTCCGCCCCCACCCCCCACCTAGTTGTTTCCTCTTTACCCCACCTCCACCACCCCCCGCACCCCACCGAGGAGTATATTCGCTCCAATCGGTCCACCACGCTGCCGAACATGCTCTTGCCGCCGCCCACTGCGCCGGGGCTGGTGGGGCCCATCTGGGAGGGCGGGGGGCAGGGGGGGGGAGGGAGGCGCAGGGAGGGGGCGCAGGAGCGCATGGGTTAGGTTCGTGTTGGGGATACAGTGCGGACTGCGGAGCAGCGTGCGTGTTTCACGATGTCTGGGGCGCATGGCAACGCAAGACATCAACAAACCCATGAGAGCCATGACCACAGAAGGACGTTTGCACAGGAGAGGTGCTAGCACATGCTGGGGTGTTGCCAGCATGTGGGCTTTGGGGCGTTGGAAAGCTCTGGAAGCCTTACCCGGGGGAACCCCGGCAGCGGCGGAAGGCCGTCACGAGCAGGGCCGGGTTTTGGGTCTGCTGCCGCTGCCTTTTTCTTCGCGTTCAGCGCCTTGGGGTCCACGCCATTCTTCTTCAGTAGCTGCAAGGGGGAAGATGGGGATGGATTTAGGGGCTTGTATGGAGGAGTAGTCAAGGGCTCAAAACCCTGAACGGAGCATACCAACCCTAGCGCAAAACTTTTCGGCAGAAAATGATAAAATGCTCTTACATCTCTGTAGTCGACCTCAATACTTTCGCCAAGAGAGAATTTCATGCGACGACCCGGCAGAGTGGATGGGGCATTGCTGTATTCGAGTTGGGCTGGTTGGAGCACAGAGGACTGCGTTGCCGATGAGGGCTGAAAGGCGGATGCAGTTGTTACTTGAGGCGCAACTGGTATAGGAGCGATGCGTCTACGCGGCTGCTGTGCCATGGCGAAACAGGGCGGGAAAACACCCGTCTGCACGATTCGCGCCCTTCTAGTCTTCGCCTAATTGCATATTTTCAAAGAGCTCGTGGCTTCTGTGCTTTACCAAATCACCTAGGCGCTAGGGCCGACGGACTAGTCGACGGGGCCCTGGTTTCACGGCAAAATACGGGAGCTTCAATATCTTTGACAATTCGTGTGATTCTGCTGACCTGTATACTGTATTCCAACTATCCTGTCATCAGTCTTGTGCTGCCTGCTTGACTTTGCCCTAGATCTATCCCACAAGCTAACCTTCAGGGGACTCGCGCTTTAGGCGCGGCGCATTTGACTAGCACATGCCCCCAACGGGCATTCCGAACTCTTTTTATTGGAAACTATCGGGAATATGTTTTGTGGTAAGGGAATAAGTAAATTCCTGCAGCCATCATCCGCCACCCAACGTGTTTCGCGTTTCTTCACCGTTTCCTACATACGCTGTGCAGATTGGCGGTTGCATGGAAGCATTTATGTACTCCACTGGGTTCTATGACGTGTAGGTGCCGCAGCGTCGCCTTCAGGGGTATTTAGTTCTGCTCATGCCCGTTTGCCGCTGTCTTATAGAAGGCTGCGCAGTCTCGTTCTTTCACTTATGCACTTCCTCCGTCCATCGCATTCAACCATGCGGCTTTCTACACCTGCAGCGTGACCAAAAAAGAGGCCGAAAAGTACGCCGAGACGTACGAAGAACGCTTGGAGCTGCTACGAAAGCTGCGCGAGAAGGGCCTGCTGGAAGGCACGGACATCGGCTTGCCTAAGGACAGCAGCAGCAGCGGCGCCAAACCCCAGTAACACTCCCGCCAGTCCACCTCCAACCCGGCACTCCATCCCCGATTGACGACGTTAAAATGGAGGACATGCTGCGCGGCATCACCGCCGGCTCCGCCGCCGCTTCCAACCCACTGCTGCGCTCGCTGCTGGGCCCGGGCGCCAGCCAGACGGACTACCTGCAGCTGGCGCAGGAGGCGGAGGGGCTGTGGAAGATGATGGACGAGATGGCGGAGAGCGACCCGCAGGCATACCAAGATTTCATCACGGGTACCGCCAAGGCGGCACGCGAGGAGGCGGAGAAGGGGCGCGACCAGCATGTGGAGGGTCTGGTGCCCGCCCTTGTGCTGGAGGTGCAGGCCCAGCAGCAGCAGCAGCGGGGGGGTGGTGGGAGCGGCAGCGGGGAGCAGCCGGGCGGCGGGCGGCAGGCGGCGGTGGATGTGACGCGGGTGGTGGCGGGCGGGCAGGCGGTGGCGCGGGTGCATGTGTGGGCGGCGAATGACGGTGAGGGGGGGGGCTAGAGGATGAGGGTGGGGAAGGGAGGGGTAAAGAGAAGAAGCGTAAGTGGTAAAGGTGGAGGGAAGGAAAAGTGCATGGCGCGAAGCAGGGGGAAGGCCGTGTTGGTACTCGGTTGGGCCCCCTGGCGGATCCCATTTGGGGTGGGTTAGGAGGCATGTCAGCAGTGACCCTGCAATAAGAGACCGGAGAGCACTGAGGACGTAGTGTAGTACCCACAAGTCCGCATGAGGCCTGTCCCATAGCGTCCCTTTCGGGAATACGCTCCCTCTACCAAGGCCCGCAACGCTTACCCCGCAACCCTTCCTCAACCTCCATCCCTCCCCCCGCAGCCTCCGGCCTCACGCCGCCCAGCCTCTTCGGCGGCGTGCCCCTGCTCCGCGCGCCCGCCCCTCCCTCCTCCTGGCTGGGCCTCCAAGTCCCGCTCGCCGAGTACCGCCCCGCCCTCACGCAGCCCGGCCAGCTGCCCCTCCACCACTTCCACCTGGCCTGCCATGCGGCGACGGCGCGCATGGCGCTGGCGGACCAGCCGCCGGGCTTCCGGGGGGCGCTGCTGGAGGCGCTCAGCCAGTTTGTGGAGGCGTCGTACGGGCTGCATCTGAGCAGGTCGCTGAGGACACTGGCGGTGCACCGGGAGGCGGTGGAGGGGGAGCCGCAGCTGCTGGGGGAGCTGGTGAGGAGGCAGGAGGAGGAGGAGGAGAGGGGGAAGGAGAGGGAGAGGGTGGCAGCAGGCGGGCGGGAGGGGGTGGTAGGGGGAGAGGAGGAGGTGGGAGGGGAGTCGGAGCTGCCACGGGGGCTGCTGGAGGAGTTGCGGACGCTGGGGACGAGCGGGGCGAGGAAGAAGGAGCAGCAGCAGAGTTGTGGGAGCAGCGCGGCGGGGGGTGGAGAGGGGGGCAAGGTCAGGAAGCCGCTGATCCAGGAGTTGGACTGAGCGGTATTTGAGGGCTGGCCAGAGCGGGGGCGATGAGGCTTGAGATCACATGCAGGTGTGCAGTACAAGCCGTACGAGAGCGCGTGCGGGTGGCATGGGTCTGGAGCGCACCTTTGCGGTGGACGCATGTACATTGCGAGGGGGCACAGCGCATGTCATCGGGCGCCGTGTTGAGGAGACTCGCGGTAGGAGCGACGGTATGAAGTTTTTATTGTTTGGGGTGCTTCCTTTTGACAGTCATGGTTACCGATTAACGCGCCTGGTGATGTCCTCCGATTGCATGGGCCATGGGCCTCATGCAAAGCGCCCAACGTTGCGTGCGCGACTTGACCATACGGCGCAACTACTCGAAGGCTTTCCTTACAAGGCCGCTTATCCTTTCCTAATACATACATATCGAAACATAGCTGCCCTATTTGTCTACGCCTTGCGGACGGTATAGCGAACTAAGGGTTTTGTCTGAAACAGCTTGCCAGCTTAACAAACCGCAGCGCTCTGTCACACTGGCTCTTGGTTGCATAGGTTGCTAAGTGGTGGCTCCTCCTGCCGTATGCTGAAGTCCTCTTGTACGGCGAGACGCTGAACCCCTTCATCAATATAGATGGCGTCCTTGACCGCTTGCTCGAATGTTGCCGGGTGCATGAGGTAGACGCGACTGTAAACGTGGGTGGCTAGGCCCTGTGCGAAGTTGTACAGATGTACTGGGTCTGCGTTGAGGTTGATGCGCAGACGAGCATCCAGATCCCTGAACCGGTCAGCATACGCACGGACGGACTCGCCCCCTCCTTGTTGACAGCGGGTTAGACGGCTATACAGCTCCCTCTTGACCTCGCCAAACCGCTCCAGAAAGGCCGTCTTGAACAGATTCCAAGTGTTGACGGTGGCCTCCACACCATAGAACCAAGTAGCCGCAGTGTTGCCAAGCCGGCAAACAGCAACGTCCAGCTTGTTGGCGTCAGACCAAGTGTACATGCGCCCAAGACGCTCCAGCCCCTCCACCCATTGCATGGCATCCTCAGATGACCGGAAGATTGGGATGGAGTTGACAGCAGCCGGATGGAGGTATCCAGCCTGCCCTGGGTTGGCGGGGTCTTGCCCATCCATAACACTTGAAGGGGTTCTCCAGTCTTGAGAGTGTTGAAGAGGTGTGGGGACAACAGAGTGGCAGCTAAAACCTAGGCTCGATGCCACGCCGCGTAAAGCGGCGCACCCTAGAAATGTTTTTCTAGAGACTTCTGTTTTTGCCGTCTAGTCCAAAACGATGCCCCTATGATTTAGGCAACGCCCCAGGGCGCCACGCGAGAAGCCTAGGCGTGCATCAACAACCAGACAACCAGCAACATGTTCAACTTATCAGCACATTGGCAACCGTCTGACATGGAGAGTGGGGAAGAGGGTAAGACAGTTTTAGGATGCTACCGGGTGCCGTGATGTTAGTTTGTCCAAAGCCACGGGGGGCGGAATACCGGTACAGGGTGATGCAGTGAACGAAACTAAGCAAATGGACGCGGAACCAGCAGCGCGCAGACAACACACGCCCTCACACCAGCAGTCATTCTCCAGGACAACAACAACTTGCGCAGCAAGTGCAAGGACAGCAAAGCATAACGAAGCTAGCAATTAGGAAGAGCAAGGCGTTGAGGCTCAGGCCGCCCAAAGGCAGCACGTTAGGAGAAGAAAGCATGCACGTGACTGTTAACTGGTCTTATACCCACCATCATGATACGTCCAAACACAAAACGTATAGCATATATGTATACAAGCTAACTTCACACGCGTTTCAGCTCTCCAAAACAGAGTCCCAACTGACAACCAGGGCAAGCCCTGCCCTGGTCATAAAATGCACACGCGAAGCATAGGTTTTAGGTTATTTGGCCCCGGTGCCCGCAAGATAGCACGCATTACACACAAAAAGGTGAAGGTGAGGATGTGGACGTTTTCCGTCCGTGTTCCGTCGTAAACGTGAGTATTCCATTGTCCCTATTCGCATGCGACCCATGGGTCTGCCGCCCCGGCCGCGTACCTGCGGTCTTCAGAACCAACCATAAGGGCCACGTTCCCAAGCACAAGCTTACGAAAGCGCACGCAGCCAATTGTGTTCGTTCAATGTTCCATGTATGGTACATGGTATATGGTATACCGTAAACTTCCCATGGTAGCTCCATTCTCCTGATGTCTGTGTCTTTGCAAAATGTCATTGCCCTAGTTACCGGTCCTACTTGGACGAGCACTTGTTTATAACCATTGCCCTTGAGGAAAGATAATAAATTTGACCCCCTGAAGCATCGCCGCTCCCTGCATGCAAAGCCCTCTTGCCGTGCCCCCTTCCCCAGCCCCTGTCACCTAGCCCCTCTTCTTCACTTCCCCAGCCCCCCGCTCCTCCATAAACCTCCTCCTCGCTCGCCACTCCCACACCGCTGACACCGCCCGCCTTCCCCCTCACCATCAACCGCACCGCCAAACCCTTCGCCCCCAAACTCCTCTCATCCTGCCTCCTCCCCACCCTGCATCTCCTCCTGTGCACCACTCCCATGCTCCTATTCCACCTGCACCTCCTCTGCGACCCCACCAGCCCCCGCACCGACCGCCTCCCCCCCTCCCTGCACACTTCCACCTCCCTGCCCGCCCGAAGAACCCCCTCCCGCGCCACCTCGCCCCTGCATAGGCCCCATGGGAGCAGCGCCGCCGCCAAACACGCGCTGCCGCTTGAAGTCCCCGCGCCCGTCTCCCCTGCCTCCGCCGCCCCCGCCAGCGCCTGCTGCTGCGGCCATGCCCAGTCCCATCTGCTCCATCATCTCCGCCTCCATCTTCTCCATCTTAGCCTGCATCCTCTTGCCGTACCCGCCGCGGCGTGGGTCGTAATCCTGCCGGAACTCGTCACGCACCTGGCGGGAGGGTAGGAGGGTGCGTGGCAGGGGACAGGTGCGGGTAGGGAAAGATAAGGGCGGGTAGCGGGCGGAGCATGGAGGGGTAGAATTGGACGAGGAGCGGTTGGTGCATGCGTGAACTCGCATCCCATCCAACAAAAATAAGCCATGCCCGGCCCCGTGCCTCCCTCCCAACACTCCTCTCCCCCCCCACCTGGCCTCCCGAGCTGCCCCTGCCGTACTGCCGGCCCTCCTGGAAGCCCCAGTCCAGGTCCACTCGGATGTTCCGCTCGTCCACCAGCGTGCCGTTCAGGAAGGCAACCGCCTGCTCGGCGTCCTGGGGATGGGGCGGCGGAGGGGGGGATCGGGGACGGGGCGCAGCCGGGAGGATGTGGTGGCGGCTGAGGAGGTCCAATGCTCCTTACAGGGTACTGCCAGAGGACATGTAAATGGATTTCTGGTACATAAGTACTGTAACGGAGGTGGGCCGGTAAGGTTAACCCAGCGCGTCAGTCAGCGTGTAGTGTACCTCTCTTGTGTAGAAGATGGCAAAGGCGAACCCGCAGGGTGTCTTGTGCACCTTGTCTAGGCCCATGACAACGCGCTGGATGTGCCCCACGCGCCCGAAAACGTCGTACAGCTGCTCCTCGCGCGTGTTGAACGCCAGGTTGCCCACGTAGACGGTGGTGCTGGTGGCCAGCGCATTCTCCCAGTCCGCCTGTCAGCCCGCGGGGAGGTGAGGAAGGGAGGTGGCAGGCAGGGAAGTGCATTGGTGTAAAGGGCATGGATAGGAGTGCAGGTGCAGTCCCATTGTTATGGTTGGTGCGTTGAGGTGTAGTGGAGGTGTATCGTAGTTGGCAAGCTGGGGCCGCTAAGTGCCCAAGTAATCCAAAGCGCGGCGTCAGGGAGTGGTAGTGCATGCGCCAAGCAGCTACATGGGGCCAAGGGCACGCCCTCGACCACATGGGCATACGCAGAGCATATGTCTACGTGCCGTCAAGCCCTTTCCCCTAGGTTTAGAGTGCTTGGCATGCGACGTGGACGTGTCAGCCTGGATGGGAAGCAAGGCCGGTGGAGCTGGCTGTGAAGTTTGTGAAGTTTGTCGGGAGGAATTTGGGCGCAGGACAATGAGGACATCGTACCATGGGTCGCCGTTCACGAGACATCCTTTGCAAGGCCGTGTAATCTCTTGTTGTTGTTTTTGTAGAACATTTGTAGGTATACCCGCATGCATACTGGTTAGAAACCAGGGAGGTTGCCGAGCGCAAGTCTTATGCCTAAATACCTGTACGGTTAACGATTGACCTCGGTCGAATGGGAATGGCGTTCTAGTAGTAAACTTTGGTAGCAACACAAGACGGCGTTTGGTTTATGCTCTGCAGTCACTCTGGCAAACGCAACTCTTGATGGCACTGTAGCTAGTGGCCCGCTTGGGAACCTAATGGCTTACAACCTATAGCTATTACCACTCCATGGCAAGCCACACTTTCTGTCGTGCAAAGCCCCAGAAGCAGCGACCGTGTTCTGCATCGGAGGCACTTACCATTGTCCAGGAGCTGCTTGCCAACGGCATATCGAGCCTTCCTGACGACGTTCGCTCAAACCTTTATAACGTAGAAACCGAACTTGAGGTACTTAAGGGATTTTCGGAGGACTTGACAGGCGCCGCACGACAACAACCGGCGGCGACATTGGGCACAGAAGCAGCGCAGCCCGCTGCTGTTGCGCAGCCTGCTAATGTAGCGCAGCCTGCAGCGGCCGGAGTCGTAGATAAGAAGGAACGGAGAAAGGACAAGAAGCATAAGGACCGCGAAAAGAAGGGTACCTCGGACGCTGGCGCGAAGGAGCATAAGAAGGAGAAGGAGCGGCCTGACAAGCGGAAAGCAGAGGGGAGCGCATACGAAGACAAGGAGAAGCGGAAATCGAAGAAGCAGAAGACGGCGTCATGAGCTGCCCGCCTGGTGTGAGAGAGCGGGCGTTGGACGGGTATGAGCTGGCGAACCTAGTGATGCGGGTGGGCTCTGGTGCAGGGCGCTAGCTGGATTGGGTTCCCTTGATTCCTACGGGATATGCAGTGCTTACAGCTGTTTGAGCGCTAGCAGGTCGCTGACAGGCGGGGTTACAATCCCACGCACCTTGGAAAACACATCCGGCAATGCATGGGAATATCGCAATTGCGGGAGCGAGTTACGTGTAGTGAGCCCGGCCGGTTCTCGGACGACGACGCGCGGTGATGGCACATGTTGACAATACCCGTAGCAGCGTCAACCCGGTCGGGGTGGACCTTACCTGCTGTTACCTGGTACTTGACGAGGTCAGGCGGGGGAGTCGTCCCTGTGGTTGACCAAACTGACGTGGCTGACCAAGTTTACGCTTTGGCGTTGCGAAAACTGCTGCAAGGCTTTGCGCTGGGGCGCCCAGCTGCCCCGTCTGCTGCTGTGCTTGTAGGGGCTTGGTCGCTCATGTCCAGACTGCGATAGGGGTGTTAGCCGATGTCTGGCCCATATTAGATGGGCTTTGCTGTCGTGCCAGCTAGAAAGGAGTTGTGGAGGCGCATGAGCAGAGTTCTCGTGCCGCTGCATATGCGGCGCAGACTTTGGCGAGAGAGGACTATGGGCGGAGGGTCTGGCGTAGAAGGCGGTTTCGTAGCTTTGTATCTGTAACGATACGTGGCTGAAGCACCGGTATGCGAACTGAGTGGCGGTGGTGTGTGCGAGGAGAGCGGGTTTCTGGTAGGCTTCTTCCGCTCTGTGGTGTTTAAGGCAATTGAACGATTGCTTGTGCGCAAAAGAAGTACGAGATAAGAGTAATAACACATGTTAAGGATGTACACGTGCCTGAAACGGAGTTATGCCCTTGACATGCAGCCCTGCGGTAGAATCAAGCAGTACAATGCTGCACAATCGTACGGCAAACTAGAGGCAAAACAAATATGAACAGGAAAAATGGCGAACGCGACCTGCAATGCATGAGCCAGCACTATAGCGGGTGTATGTACAAGCAACCACAGGATCCAAGCGTCCGGTCCCAATATGGGACGTCAAGCCCGTCCCATGGGTCATAGCCTCACCGATTTTCTTGATTATGACAACTTAGCGCAAGGCCGTCCGCGAACCATAAGAACGAGCAACCCTTGGCTAATAGGCTCTTCCCGTGGACACAGGCCCAACATGCGCCGACCCTAACAACGTAAAAGCCAGCAAGCGTTTGACCCAAATGGCGATCTGCTCCAGGCACGACCCTCCTCTTGGAGCGCACATGGCCGCCGCCGCACGGGCACATGCGGCACCTGGGCGCCGCTGCAACCCACCTTGACGAACACCACCGAGAAGCGAGAACCCTGCGCCACATGTGTGCACCTTCACGTGCCACCGACCTTAGTATCCCTCCCAGACCTCTTTCAACCCTCGCATCCGCACGCACCAGCCCTGCCAATGCATGCAACCCCGTGAATGGGCGCGCAGCCTAAGGGCAGACCGTGAGATCAGCTCAGACTGGCTTACCGGTAACAAACGGCGCCAAGGCGTTCCCCTCACAAGGGATCCCTCTGCCCTGCCACAACGGTACGCCTGCCGTGCTCCGCCTTCAGCACAACGTCCCCCGAACCCGACAGCCGCAACACAGCTCTGACTGCAGCATGCGCCCCCAGTCCCCTTCTAAGCACCGACTGCCGCTATCCTTGCCGCCCCACTGCTGCTGCTGCTGCAGCATCAGCAGCGGTAGCACTGCTGTTTCCACTGTTGCTGCTGCCCCTGCTGCCTCTGCCGCTATTGCCGCTGCTGCTGGTGGCGCAGGTAGGGGTCGCCCTCAAACAGCTCCAGCGCCAATCCACCACCACCACCACCACCACCACCGTTGCCGTTGCCGGGAGGGTGGTGGTGGTGGTGGCCGCCCCGAGGTGGTGCAGCAGCAGCAGCAGCGGCACCGTTTGACACCGCCGCTCCGGCGCCTGAGTACACAGGGTGGGTCATGACGGGTGGGGGTGAGGGTGAGGGTGGGGGTGGGGGTGGGGGTGAGGGTGGGGGTGAGGGTGGGGGTGGGGGTGAGGGTGGGGGTGGGGGTGGGGGTGGGGGTGAGGGTGGGGGTGGGGGTGGGGGTGGGGGTGAGGGTGGGGGTGGGGGTGGGGGTGGGGGGCAGCAGGACACCAGCAAAAGCCGCCCAGCCAGGCATGCCCCCGCATGAGGGTGACCAGGAGATCCACGCGGGTGGAGGGTCGCAGTGGTGGGCCCAGGGTGCAGCAAGAACGGTACATGAGGCCGTACGGACCAAGAAGCAGGCGGGGCAGCACTCCCTCTTCCTGCCTACATGCCCCCCCCCTTTTGCAGGGAATAACATGCAGTTGCAGTCACCATTAATGAAACGCCGCCTCAGCACCTACGCCTCCTGTCCAAGCTCCCGTACCCACCTGCGAGATGATGCGACCCTCGGGGCGCCTCCGTTCCCCGCGAAATGCCTCCTCCTCCTCCTCCACCGCCTCCAACCCGCCTTGCAACCTCCCCTTCCCGGCCACCCGCCTTGTCCCGCCTGCCGCCTGCCCCCCAGGGGTTAGCTAGGCTGCGGAGGCTGCCGCCGCTGCTCACGCTGCCTGCCCCACCGCCCTTCCCCTCACCGCCGCCGCCGCCGCCGCCGTTGGAGGGCTTCACGACTCGCGCTGCGGTGGCCGCTGCCGCTGGGGCGACAGCTGGCGGCGCCGCTGGTACCCCCTGCATTACTCCGGCGGCGGCCACAGCTGCTGCAGGCGGCGGATGCTGGTGGGGCTGGTGCTGCTGGTGCGGCGGGGCTGTAGCTGCAGCCGAGCCGCCTCCGCCGCCGGTAACGCCGTTGGTGCCGGGTGCTGCTGCGGCTTGCAGTTGACGGCTGCACGGGTGCGGGGAGGGAGCGGGGCGCCGGGGCGTGGGGTTAGCGACGGGGTAGGGGACACCGGGCATCGCGCGGAAGTGTCCGACAGCAGCGGCAGTAACGGTGCGTATGCAGAACAGTGCAGCGGGGTGCCTGCTTGCCAGGCGACATGCATGCAGGACCCCTCGCAACTGCCGCAGCGCTTCTGCAGTCGCCCCACAACTCCCAACCCCGTTCCTAGACTGCCACGCTGCCGACTAACACCTAGGGCAGCTGGCAGTGCCAACGCATTCCCCATACGCAACGGCAACAACCCCCTTAGACCTCTGTACACGTCGAATCTGATCCCCGCCTCCCACGGCCCCCTGCGCCCTCCTTCTCACCCCACTCGCGCCAGCAAGCTGCCGCCCCTCCCCGACCTCTCATGCGCATCCGCCGCAGCCACCGCAGCCGCCCCCCTGCCCTGCCCCTCCTGCTGCTGCTGCTGTTGGGTCCGCACCCCTTGCGCCTGGTGTTGCTGGGGTTGCTGCTGCTCCTGCTGCTGCTGCCCGCCCCGCTGCTGCAACGCTGGCGGCCCGGGGAATGGCGACTCCGCCACCCCGCCGTGGAGTCGCTGGTGCTGGCGGCCGGAGGCGTTCCTGGGCTGTAGTCCGGCGAATAGAGCAAAGGGCGATGCGGAACCATGATGAGGCGACGGCGGTGGCGGTGAAGGGCTGTGATGCGACGTCTGGTGCTGCTGTTGCTGCGGCGGCGGCTGCCGTTGCTGCTGGCGGTTAGCTGGTTCCGGCGCCGCACGTGCTGACGTCGGCCTCCCCGTCTGCGCCGGAGCTCCGGATCCCGGACCTTCGCTCCGCTGCAGTGCGGCATCGTCGAACGTCACTCGGCGGGCCTTCTTGGCGGCTGGGGACTGCTGCCCCTGCCCCTGCTGCTGCTCGGGTGCCGCATGTGGCTGCGGCGGCCGGTTGCAGGAGGAGGTCTTGAGCGCGGACGGCCTGACGGCGCCGCCGCCGCCGCTGCCGGCGGAAGCGGCAGGAGCTGCGGTGGCGGAGAACAGCGGTCGCTTGAGGCTGCGTCGCTCGCTGGCCTGTGCATGTGCATGGGCATGTGCAAGCTCTTCCCCTTGCTCGCCTGCGTGTCTGTGCGTCGTATCGCCGTTATCCTGCAGCTCGAGACGCCTGGCCGGCCAACCAGCCGACGGAGGCAGCCGCTGCTGCTGCTGCTGCTGCTGCTGCCCCTGCTGCTGGGGCTGCTGCTGCCGCTGCTGACCCCCTGTGCTGGTGCCTGTGCGTCTATCGCCGGCTGAGGGCCCCGCCAGAGTGGTGGTTGGGGTGTCGGCGTCAAGGTCCGTACTGGTGGTTTCGGTGCCGCCGCCCCGGGTAACCGTTACCGTTGGCGACATGTATTCGTCGGCCCATGGGACTCGAGGCTGCTGTACGGCAGGGCTGCTGGCCGCTTCGACGTCAGCGTCAGCGTCAAAGCCTGACGTCGCCGCCGCCGCTGCCATATCCCACGTGGCTGCATACTCAGCTCCCCCTGACACGGCGTAGCTTGCCATACGCATGCCTCCGTCACCGCCGTTGGCGCGCCCACGTACGAAGTAAGTACGACGAACACCTGACGCCGCCGCGACGTTGCTGACCGCCTCCGACGCCGCCGGTACGGCAACCGGAGGCGCTGTACAGCGTCCTTGGAGTGCGGTCGCCCCCGGGCGGCCGTCCCCGGGAGCATTCAGGTGTCCCTGGTAAGCAAGGTGCAGCTGCTGGTGCTGGTGCTGATGCTGATGTTGAGGATGTGCATGCGGATGTAGCAGCTGCTGCGGGTGGTGGTGGTTGTAGTGGTTCGGCACTCCGGGCTCACCCCTCGCTTGGGAGTGGTTGGAGTAGCCACCCGAGGGAGCTGCAACGCTGTCCGGAGCAACCCCTGGTGGTACCGACCCGGCCGCCGCCGCCGCTGCTGAGTAGTCAGCCATGTACGGCATCGCATGACCCGCATCAGGTACGGCACCTGGATTGGCGACATGGGGCCCGCCGTACGTGCCGTACGGTGCAGCGCTTCGTTGCGGCGGCGGCGGCGGCGGCACTGGAGCATACCCGTGCATGCTGTGCTGTGGCGGATATCCGTGGGGGGCTGGCGGGTGACATTGCGCAAAGTACGGCGCAGGGGGAGCCGGCGGCGGCGGCGGCGGTGGGGCGTACGGAGGCTGACCGGCCCCTGCGCCCGCAGTGGCTGCCGCCGCCGCCGGCGCCCCGGCGGCGGCTTGCGTGGGGTAGTAGGCCTCGGCTCCGCTAGCAGCGGCAGCGGCGGCATTAGCCGTCTGCAGTGGGACCGGCGGCGGGGGCGCATGCGTCAGCGGGTAGCCGCCGTACATTTGCCCGTACGCCGCCACCGACCCACCAGCTGCCGCGGGCAGGTGCGGCGCTTGCTGTTGCGGTGGCGGCGGAGGCGCATGCGGGTACGCCGGAGCCCCCCATGGCTGCTGCTGCTGCTGCGGCGGCGGCGGCGGCTCGGCAGGGTAGTGCGGGGGCGAGGGTGCGGTTGCTGGCCGTTGGAGGCGCACGTCCTGCTGCGCTGAACCGGCCTCCGGTTGAGCCACATGAGCATGCGGCCCCTCCCTGCCGGCGTCTAGCATGGGCTGCTGGGGATGCGGGCGCCAGGGAGAGGCTTGCTGCTGCTGCAGGTGCTGCGGGTGCTGCGGCTGCTGCTGTGGCTGCTGCTGGCCTCCGTCTGACGGCACCCGGATTCCTGCGGTGCCAATGCTTCCCGTGCCACCTTGGACTTCATGGCTTTGCTGCTGTTGCTGCTGCTGCCGCAGAAGGAAGCTGGCAACCGCAGCAACTGCCGTACTCCCCGCTCCTGCCGCCGGCACCGTCACACCAGCCGCGCCACCTCCCGCTGCTCCCATGAGCTCCAGCACGCCCCTCCGAATGACGTCACTCCCCAGCGACGCGAAGTCGGCATCAGAGCCCGACAGCAGCGCCGCTAGGAACGCCCCTGCCGGAGCCGGCGGCGGCGGACCCGCGGCGACGGCGGCGGCCCCAGCGACAACATGCCGGTCTGCACTTGCCGTACCTCCGCCAGCGCTTGTCGTACCAGCGGCGCCGCCGCCACCAGCAGAGCCCCCGGAACCGCGGCTGCCGGCCCTTCCGCCACCGCCGCCGCCGCTGCTGGCGCCCCGGTGGCCCACACTCGGCGCGCCTCCGCCAGTTACCTCCGCCTCCCCGTCACCGTCCTCCACTCCGCCCCAGCCCGCCAGGCTCACCGCCGGCGCGGCGGCGGAGGCCGTACGAGCTGCGCTGTCGCCGCCGCTTGACGTGCCTGCCGCATCGTCCCTTGCATGTGCAGCAGCAGCAGCAGCCGTGTGGGGGTCCGAATGCGGGTCGTCGTTATGCCGCCGGTCACGGTCCCCGACAGAGTCCGCAGAGTTGCTTACAGCGGTGTAACGCGCACGGAGAGCGAGGCCGAATGAGAAGGTTGCAGCGCTACTGGTGGGGCGCTGCGGCTGCTGCTGCTGCTGGGGTGGCGGCTCGGGCGGCGGCGGCGGCGGCGGCAGCTCGGGCGGCACGCGTTGTTGACGCCGCGGCTGCTGCTGCTGCTGCTGCTGGGGCGGTGGCGGCTGGTTGTGCTGCGGCGGCGAGTGGGGCGGCTGATGCTGTTGATGCTGCACTTGCTGCTGATGCTGCTGATGCTGCCAACCCTGCTGGTCGTACGGTTCCGGTTGCGGCTGACAGTGGTGTTGTTGGAGCCGCTGTGCCGGCTGCAGGGGTGCCTGCTGGACTCCATACGGCCACCAGGTGGGCTGCTGCTGCTGCTGCTGTTGCTGCTCTTGAGAGCCCTGACGGTGCTGTTGCTGGTATTGCGCTGTGCGGCGTACTGGATACTGCTGCTGCTGCTGCTGCTGCGGGGGGTCTGCATGCTGCCGGTACAGGTGGTGATGCGGGTGGGTGTACTGGCGTTGTTGTTGTTGTTGGTCCTCGTGCTGCTGGTGGTGTGGGGGCGGGGGGCCCCGATGCGGTGATGCACCACCCTGGTAGGAGCGCTGCTGCTGTTGTTGCTGTTGCGGATCTTGGTGCCGCTGTTGTTGCTGATGCAACGGTTCTTGTTGTTCTTGTTGCTGTTGTTGCACTTCCTCCGCAGCAAACGGCGACACTTGTCGCGCCAGCTGCTGCTGTTGGGGTGGTGGTGGGGCTTCGAAGCCACCGAAGGGAGTGGGTTGCAGTTGCTGCTGCTGCTGCCGCTGCTGACGTGGCGAACGCGCAGGCCACTGGAACGAGCTGCGAAGTTCCGGCCCCTCCGTCTCAGCCCTTGCCTCCACAGCGCCATCGCCGGCATCCACTTGCATCCTCCCCGGTGCAGCACCCCCCAGCCCGGACCTGTCTCGCTCGCCTCCCTCGCCCACTTCCTGCCGCTCATGATGACCCATGGGTCTGTCGCGTCCACCGCCACCACCACCACCACCACCACCAGCGGCAGGAGCGGCAGCAGCAGCGGCAGCGGACCCGCCGAGCCCCTGCCTCAGCGCCCGCTGCTGCTGCAAGGTCAGCTGCTGCCTCACCAGCCCCTGGAGCTCCGCTGGGTCAAAGTACGGCAATCCGGCCACACTCGGAGCGTCCGCAAAGAACTCCTCGGGCGTTAGGCCGTTGGGGCCCGTTGTGCCGCCGGCGCCGGCGCCAGCGCCGACGTCAGCCTCACTGGTGCCGCCGCCGGCTGCGTTGGCGGCACCTGCACCATCATCTGCACCATCATCTGCCCCTGCCCCTGCACCATCATCTGCCCCTGCTGCATGGGTGCTGTCGTGTGTGACATGGACTGGGGGAGGAGGTGCGTCCGGCAACATGCCCTCACCCGGGGTGCCCATGGTTCCCATTGCGCACACGGCCGCCGCTGCCTTCACCGCCGCCACCGCTGCAGCAGCCGCCGCTGTCGCAGTTGCGGCGGTGACTGCGGGTAGCGTTGCAGCTGCATCCCCATGCCCCCCATGCCCGCGGACAACCGCTGCTGCCGTCACCGCTGCTGCCGCCGGCGGCGGCGGTGCAGCCCTCCGGGGCCGCGGACTGCTGGCAACCCCTCGCACCAGGTCCTCCTCACGCCAACCCGACACCCCCCCGGCTCCTACATGCAACCCGCACCCGGATGGCGCAGCAGCAGCTGGGGAGCCTGCAGGGGCGGTGCGCCCGGTGCCATCTACAGCGCCAGCCGCCAGCGGGGCCGCAACGGGTGAGCCTGCTAGGACAGCTCCCCCTGCGGCGGCAGCTGCCTCCCCCTCCTCCCCCCGTCCTGTGGTCGTCCTGAAAGGCGGCATGGAGGGGCGCCCGGCGGCAGCGCCTGCGCCTGCAGCCGGCTCAGCAGCGGCTGGGCCCGCAGCAGCAGCAGCACCTGCCCCGGCTGCCCCGGCTGCCGTGCGCGTGAGCCCGGGGGTGTTGCGGGGCACCACGAAGAGGGCCCTGGGCAGCGGCTGCAGCGGCAGCAGCCCACCGCACCCTCTGCCTGCGTCTTCCGGCATGACATCCCCCGCTGCAAGCTCCTCCTCCTCCTCCTGCTGCCGCGCCTCCTGTTGCTGTCCGTTGGCGTGCTGTCCGTGATGGTGCTGTTGCTGCGGCTGCTGGTGGTGTTGCTGTTGCTGTTGTCGCTGTTCTTCTTGCTGGCGCTGGCGCTGCACCCGCAAAGGCGAAGGCCTGCTGCCGTGGGGGCCTAGCAAGCGAGCGAGCTGGGCTCTAACCTGCGCGCATGCATGAGGAGAAGCCTTGGTCCAGGATCGCAGGGTAAACGGGTGATTGAGGCGAAGGCACAGACGGATGCACGCAGGCCTAGGCATGGCGCGATGGACAGTAGCAAGGAAGGAAGGAAGAAAAAAAGCGCATCCATCCACATCCGTTCACTATACCGCCATTTAACCCGCTCCACCCTCTCTCCTCACATCTCCACAGCTACCAAGTACCCCAACCCGTATCATACAACGCATGGTTTTTCTCCTTCTTTCCCTTCAGCCTTCGAATTCCCCACCACCCACCTTCTCTTGCTCCAGCCGAACTTGAGCCGCCAGCAGCTCTCCAGCATGCGGCTGCTGACCGTCGTCACCCTCACCCCCCTCGCTGCTGCTGCCAGTGCCCACTACCGCCTCCTCATCTGCCGCTGCTGCCGCCGCCGTCTCCCCCTCCTCGCCCTCTTCCTCCTCCCCAGCTGCCTCCGCTGCTCCCTCCTCTGCACCCTTCTCCAACTTTCCCTCCTCCTCCTCTCCTGCATCCTCCTCCTCCTCCTCCACTAGCTCCGGAGCCATCATGACCGCAAGCAACCGAACCAACCGAGCCAGTCGAGCACCCCGACGACGAGGCGAGCCATGACCTCCCGCCCCAGCCCCAGCCCCGCTCGCGCCTGCACCCTCCGCTCCAGCAACCCCAACCCCGGCGGCTACGTGACCACCGCTGCTGGCGACTCCAGCAACCCCACCGCCGCCAGCAGCAGCCGCCCCCTCCGTCCTCGCCTCCTCCTCCGCCTGCTGCTGCGGGCCGGGAGCAACAGCCCCCGCAGCGGTTGCGGGCGCCGCCTCGGTTGCGGACGCAGGGCGCTCCGCAGCCTGTCCGCTGACTGCTGCTGCGGCCGTATGCGTGGCTGATGCAGCGGCTGTATCGGTGGCTGCAGTGGCTGAGGGGGGTGCGGCAGTCCCTGCTGCTGCGGGTGCTGCTGCTGCGGGTGCTGATGGTGTGAGTATGGGCGTGGGAGCTTGTTGGCGCTGCGGCCGTACATGGGGTGCTTGATGCGGGGCCTGCTGCTGATGCTGTACTGGTGGGGGGTACGGAGGATGCGGGGGTTGCTGTTGCTGCGCGGGTGGTTGCTGTTGCTGCTTTTGCTGCGGTGGCGGCGGCGGCGGTGTTGGCTGTGGCGGTGGTGGCGGCTGAACCGCCTGCTGCTGCTGCCGTTGTTGTTTTCGTTGCTCGCCCTGCTCGCGCCCCGCCACGGCCGCAGCTCCTTCAAAGCCCGCTGCAGCCGCCACAAATGCTGCGGTCCTCCTGCTCGTCCGTCCGCGGTCCCCCCGGCCCCTTGCCCCTCCGGGGCTCCGAGCACTGCCGACAACCTCTGTCCCAGCCGCCCCCCGCCTAGCCCGCTTGTGCGGCCGGCCAGGACTGCCGGGCGCTACCCCTCCACCGGCTGCCTCACCAGCTGCAGTCGAGGAACACATTGCTGCTACTGCTGCTGCTGCTGCCACCCCCGGCCTTGCGGTGCCGACTACCTCATTAGCAGAGGGAACAGCAGCAGCTGCAACAGCGGCGGGAACAGTAACAGCGGGGTCCGCAGGTGTGGCAGCAGTAGCGGGGGCCACCGGACGGGGATGATCCCCATCAGCGGGAGCGAATGCTTCGAATCGTTGGGGCGGTGGCGGGGTCGCCTGGGTCTGGTTCGTGCCGGCGGGCTGCTGCTGCTGCTCTTTGTGCCGCGCTAGCTGCCGCTTCTGGGGCTGCTGCTGCTGTTGTCGTGACCGCTTTTTGTCCTCCGGTGCCTGCTGTCCTAGCGCCGTCTGTCGCTGCAGCTGCTGCTGCTGTCGCTGCTGCCGGGACGCAGCAGGTGGTGGTGGTCCACGTTGCTCCCCCCCTTCCCCCCGCACACCCTCCGGCACAGCCCCACCCCCAACCCCACCTGCAGCCCCCTGCCCCCTCTCCCTCTCCGCCTGCTCCCTCTCCGCCGCCTCCGCCATCCACCGCCCCATCACCGCCTCCGACGGCTCCACAATGTAGTACCTCCGCGTCTGCCGCAGCCGCAGCCCCCCAGCACCAACAGCGCTGCCGTCGGCCTCATGTGATACCCCGCCCTCTCCTGCCGCCGCCCCCGCCTCCTCCTCCTCCTCCATCAGCCGCTGCAGCGCCAGCACAGCAGCCGCCGACCGTGCCACCACAGCCGCCCGCTCCCAGCGGGGGAGCAGCACGCAGCAGCGCCACACCAGCACCCGGTGCATGATGTGGTGCAGGGACAGCATGGGGACGTCGGGGAGGGCGGGGGCTGCGGGAGGGAGAGGGGGCGCGGAGAGGGGGGGTGCGGAGGGGGGCGGTGTTTCAGGAGGCGTTGAGAGGAGGGAGGGAGGGGGTGGGGCTAGGGTGGTTGCTGCCCGTACAGCCGTAATGCCATGCGTGCTGTCGACTGCATGTGTGCGTGGGCTATCTAGTTGGAGGCTCACATTCCATTCACGACCACCACCTCCTTCACCGCCCTTCCGCCCCAGCACCCCCACGCCACCAACCCGCCACACCAACAAGTGCCCCCACCGGTCAGCAGCTTGTCGATCAACTCCTCCTCCGACAGCCGCGGCGCTCCTCCGCCACGTCCACCACCCCCTCCACCTTCCCTGTCCTCTGCACCTCCACCTCCACCTCCCCCACCCACTGCACTCCCGCCGCCCCCTCCCACACCACCAGGGTCCGGCTGCATGCCCCCAGCCCGCCGACCCCGCACTGCACCCGGCGCCGGACTCCTCGGCACCGCAGCAGCAGCAGTCGCATGCATGCGCCCACCGCTCGGTGCTTCACCTCCACCTGCTGCTGCCCCCAGCATTGGAGGGCCCCTGGCAGCCGCTGCCGCTGCCGCTGCTGGCGCCGCCCCGTTGCAAGCAGCAGCCGTGTGGGCCGCGGGAACCCCTGTGTGGCGCGCAGTGCCCGCGCCCCCCGGCGCCCCTCCGGCCGCTGCGGGTGCTGCTGTCGGCGCTGGTGCTGTCGCAAGGACAGCGGCCGCAGCAGCAGCGGGGGTGGAGGTAGCGGACACCTGCAGGCGCGGCTGCGTCGCTGCCGCCGGCGGTGCAGCTGGTGCTGTAGCCGAGGGGCCCGGGGGAGCCGCCGTCGTCGCCGCAGGTGGCAAGGGCGCCTTGCTTTGAGGCTGGGCTGGAGTGTGAGACGTCCCACGCTGCCGGCCGACCGCTGCACTCTGCACCCCCGCTGCACCAGCCGGTTTGCTGGGAGCGGCGGTGGACGCTGCGCCGGCGGGAGGGGCAGTCGGGGCACCCGGGTTAACACTGGAGCCGGCAGCAGCAGGAGGAGCAGCAGCAGCGGCGGCGGCGGCGGCGGTGGGTACACGTTGTCGTGTCGCCGGGCTGGAGGTGCGCGTGAGTGCAGTGGGCGCACGTACAGGCAGACGCCGGGTGATCGCAGCGAGCGGAGGAAGTGAGGGTGTTGCTGTTGTTGCTGGTGCTGTTGTTGTTACTGGTGCTGCTGCTGTTGCCGGTTGTGGAGGTGGCGGTCCTGCCGGGGTAGCCGTCACCGCAGCTGTGGGCGCTCCGGGAGCAGCGGGCGGCCCTGCAGGTGGCTGATCACCCACTGCTGCTGCTGCTTCCGGCACACCCGCGCCCGCCCCAATCCTGGCACCCCGTGTTGCGGCCGCTGCCGCCGCCGTTGCACCTCCATTCGCCGCCTGCTTGGTGACCCCGATGGTGCGCAAGATGCGTCTGAGAGGAGCCGTACCGCCCCCTGCAGCCGCACCCCCCGCTGCCACCGGTACTACACCCGCAGCCCTGTTCGGAGCGCCACCCACAGCAGCAGCCACCTCCTCGCGTGTAGCAGCTACGGCAGCAGCGGGAGCAGCGGCAGCAGCGGTAACAGCGGGAGCACCATGAGCTGCTGCATGGGCTCCCGCCGGGTGTGCGGGTACGGCAGCCCCACCAGGTGCATGGGCAGCGGCTGTCGCCACATCGCTGCCGCCTGCATGCCCGGGGAGATCACCGCCGGCGGTGGTGGTGGCGGTGGTGGTGGCGGTGGTGGTGGCGGTGGTGGTGGCGGTGGTGGTGGTGGTGCCCCCCGGGCGCTGCCTGGCTGCCGAGCCGCTCGTTACAACACCCACATCCGCACCCGCACCCGCATGCGCCATCGCAATGGCAAGAAGCCTGCTGGGAAGCGCGGTAGGCGGCACCCTGCCAGTGTGTTCAGCAACAGGGGAGCGGCCTGACAGGGGAGCTTGCTGGGGCTTTGGCGGGGGCTGCTGGGGCTGCTGGGGTGGCGGCTGGGGTTGGGGCAGTTGGGGTTGGGGCCTGGGGCGCTTGGCAGGGAGATGCGGAGCCTGCTTCCGTCTCCGCTTCCGTTGCTGCACCGGGGGCGGTCCCTGCTGCTGCTGCTTTCCTTGCTCCTGCTCCTGCTGCAGCTCCTGCTGCGGTGGAGTCCCATCGCCGCCGCCGCCGCCACCAACCATCGCAGGAACTGGGTCGGCAGGCGGCGTCGTGGCGGCGGCCCCACCGCTAGGCGCCACGCCATGCGCCACTGCAGGGCCCCCTTGTACGGCGACAGGAGCATTACCCCCCGCACCCCCACCTGCCGCTGCCTCCGCCGTTGTCTCTACCGCTCCCGCTGCTTCTGCCGCTGCTTCTGCGAAGGCACCTTGGGCGCTGCCCAGCGGGGGAGGCCCAGTGGGTACCGGTCCGCTTGCTGGATGGGCCGCTGCTGGAGTTGCCCCGGCCATGACACCCGTCGTTTCCTCCTCACGCTGCTGCTGCACCGCCGCCGCCTCGGTCGCCGCCACCAGCTGCGCACCGGGTGTGGGCAGCAGGGCGAGAGGGAGCAGTCCCGCCGGGGGGTGATGAGGGCATGTAGCGGGCGCGGGAGCGGCGCCTGTCGTAGCGACGGCGGGGGAACCGGCGACGGGCGCTTCGGCGGGTGTTGCATCCGTGGCAACGGCGGTAGCAGCTGCCGTGGTGGAGGGGGCAGCAAGGGCTGCAGGTGTGTCGTCCCCCGCTGCGGCGCCGGCAGCAACGTCTGCATCGGCGTCGGCGTCTGCTGCTGGTAAGGACACGGGTTCGCCATCTTGGGAGTCCAGGATCAGCCGCAGCGGACTGACGGGCGACACAGGTGAAAGGGAGCCCCAGGATTCTGCAAGCGAGAGCGCGGGACTGGGTGCGGTTTGCTGGATTGGAGAGCCCAATGGGGCTGCGGGTTCCGGCGGTGGCGGCAGCGGCAGCGGGCTGCGCGGTGCTGTAGCCGCGACGGCGGCAGCAGTGGTGGTGGCGCTGCTGCCGCCGGAGGTGGCAGCAGCAGTGGTGGAGGGTAGTGGAGGTCCGGGTTGCAGCAGCA